AAGTTTCGCTTCCTCACGTGGAAAATGGTGGGATTGGTCCAAAGAAGTGCTCTCTGTGTGCTGTAGATTTCCCCCATTTGACCTAATAATAGCAAACATTTGTAATAGCATTTACTAGATGTCAGTCGCAAATTGATGCCCTTTACGTATGTCAGCTAATGTAATCCTCACAAAAACGTAAGAGAGAAATGCTGTTTTACTTTCCCTTTACAATGAAGGAATTGAGGCACAGAGAGGTTGTGTGACTTGCCCAAAGTCACACAGGTAGTAAGTGGCAGAGCTGGGATTTGAACCTAGTAGTCTGGTTTCCAGAGTACTTGCTTTTTTTAACCATGTACTTAAAAAAATATTTATTTATTTATTTATTTTTAGAGAGAGGGGAAGGGAGGGAGAGAAACATCAATGTGTAGTTGCCTCTCATGCACCCTGCACTGGAGACTTGGCCTGCAACCCAGGCATGTGCCCTGACTGGGAATTGAATCAGTGACCCTTTAGTTTGTAGGCCAGCACTCAGTCCACTGAGCCACATCAGCCAGGGCCCATGTACTTTAAAAGGAAACTTTTTATCACTACAGAAACTAGAAAGCCATTATCACTTGTAAATAGAGGGTAACAAAAAATTAACAAGATGAAACAACTTGTTCTAACATTCTGGCTAGATACTATCCATCGCCTCCTCCAAATTTTGAGCTGAAGGCCTGCCTTTCTTTGTTAAATAAAAGACAAGATGAGTACAGATAGAGAAGTGTGAAAGGGCTTCTGGCAGCAAAATGAGACTTTCTCCTGGAATAATCAGGAGTGCTGAAAGAGCACTGGAAAACACAGCTTTCGTGCACGCATGCATGCTCCCTTGCTGGTCTGCACACCACCTAAAATAAACCCGAGATGGTGTGCGGTCCACACACCATGGTCCCGTGTCTGGGCATTTTAGGAGTGTCCAAACATCCCTGGAGGAAGGGAGACAAGGCCAGCTAGTTCTGGCATAGGGGTACAGCACCTCCCCCCCACCTGCTGAAGGCAGCACCTGCAGGGGGCGGCGTGAGGTGGCACTCACTGTGCAAGAGCTGGCCCAGGCTTGCCCGGCAAATGGCATAGACCCACTCCCTCCTCCCTCAGCCTGGCTCCCCAGGTGGGCCTCTCATCCATAGGCTGCCCTCACATACCTGTCACCCAGTTCACCCTGGGCCTGAAGTTCACCATTTCCTGCTACTTCAGGCTTCTCAGGCCAAATGCTGTCTTGTTCATCCTCTTAGAACCTGGATGTAGCACAGCCCCAGCCCTGCAGAGGAGTGCAGGTGTGATATCATCAAAAGCTGTGAATAAGTAAACAATAAGTAGCCAGAAGTGGCCTGTTTCCCACATGATACCCAGGGAAGGGTCCAATTCCCCCTACGGTGCTCTGGGGACAGTCCTGGCCAGCAGGCCAGGACATTTATTATTTAGTGCTTTAATTGTACTGGTCCCAGGTTAGGTACAGCTCCAAACAAGTCCGGTCCCACCCTTTAGTGGGACAGCAGAAGAAGCTGAGGGCACAGCAGGCCAGCTGGAGTCAGAAAACTAAGGATCTGGGCCTTTTTTCTCTTCCTGGTATGTGACTGTGGTCGAGTGTCCGAGCTCTCTGAGCCTCAGTTGTACACACACAGAGTCCCACTGCCCAGGCTCAAATCTTAGTTCTGTCACTCACTAGCAGGAGAACTTGTGCTAGTGAATTAACACCTCTGGGCCCCTCTTATCTATAGAATGGGGACAAGGGCGGCACCTCTACATAGAGCCGCTGGGGCGATAGAATAAGATAGGTGTGAATGCTCAGTGTGATATTCATTGAGTTGTTGTTATATTTTTTAATGAGCCCTTGTTCTATGCCAGATACCTGCCTATATTTTCTTTAACCTTCACAATAAGCCCTCTTATGAGCCCTACTTTCCAGATGAGTAAGACCGAGGCTTAGTGACCTCAGTTAATTTGCCCAGGGTCACACAGACACACAGAGGCAGAACTAGAATTCAAATCTAGATCTTGCCTGGTTCTAAAATTCCTTTTCAACTGGTTCATAATTCTTTTTCATCTATAAAATGGAAAAAAAAAAAGGTTTCTGTCTTGCAGGTCTGCTGTTAGGATTAAATAAAACAAAGTCTGTGGAGAGGCCTCTCCGGATGCTTGCTTTAGCTTCTGATTCCCCCAGGGTAATTATCTGAGCACAGGACTTTCATTTTCATAATGAGGAGCCTGCTGAACCTCTTAGACTCTGGGAGGCAATGTCGTCTGATGTCCATAGGAGGGGCTGAAAGTGTGAGATCAAATCAGAGCCACCAGGTTCCCTTCTCACAGCCAGGCCCAGGCCTGCTAAGGCTTCTTTCATCTTCTGGGCTTCCTCTTTGCCTCAGGTCTCCCACCCGCCCCATGGAGACTGGCAGTACATACCCTTTTCTCTCTTTCCCAGGGGCAGTGCCAAACGACATGTGATGAAATCTGACATCTCCAGCTTTGAACTGTAGGTAGAGGGAGGCCTGATGGTTATCTAGCTATTGCGGTCAGTTTCTCCCAGCCTCTGACAAATGGTGTGATGTGGGAAAATGTGGAGCCCTGGCAAACTGGGGTGCATATATCACCCCTCCTATTGGCTTGGCACTGTCCGCCCTCCTGCATTATGTATGAGCGCACCGTAGGAACAGAATACCGTCACTAGTGCGTCTGACCACTGCAGGCCACAGACTCGATCAGAGGCCTTGCCAAGGCGCATGTCTCTGTGTTGGCAGGAGCTGAAAAGAGGGAGGGCGATGTGTCACCTGAGGCCTTTCCTGGGGCTGGTTTCAACTTGGACCTTGGATTCTGCAAAGAAGATAAGGGCAGACAAGAAGGCAGCCTCAATAAGACAATCTGACCCTACCTTAGAATCAACGATGCTAAGATCAGGGAGAGCTAGACTCCTGTTTTCAGAGCTCGAAACACCCTTAAGAGGGTGGGGTGGCATTAGAGGTGTCTGGGACCTCTCAGGGTAGCTGAAGGTGAGAGAGGAGATTTGGAACCCAGAGACCCAGACCCTGGCAATTTCTGTGACTGCCTCATGGTGCAGGCAATCCCCAGGGGCAGCAGTTGTGGCGAGGTACATCTGGGTGGAGAACAAGTAGGTATGCAGCGGCAGAGCTATCAGTTGAAAATGCAAGTTTGTGTGTAGAACCAAAAGGCCAGGAAGAAAAGCAGGAGGGCTGAGTGCCTTGGCTCCCTGAGAGCTGCTAGAACTAGGGCATCTGGATAACAACACCTCATCAGTAGATGCAGTTGGATTTAGTTCATTCATAAAGTCAGTGGTTACTCACTGGATGCTCCCAAGGCCAGGCCAAGTACTAGGGCTTGGGATATGGAGATGAATCAGACCCAAGTGCTCACAGTCTAACTGGGGAGCCAGGCATTGAAGTAGAGACTCAAATACCTTGTGGTAAAGAGAACAGCAGTATGTATATGGTGCCCAAAGTGGCCACCTCTGCCTAAGGTTGGCAGAAAGAACTCCCTGAGGCAAAATTGAGCAGAGGCTTGAAGGATGAGGGAGTTTCAGAAAGGAAACAGAGGAAGGGTGTTGTTCTACACAGAGGGAACAGCATCTGCAAAGGTGTGGAGCTGAGAAACCCTGTGCACCGGTTCTGGAGCCTCGAAAAGATCCTATGGTGGAGGCTTGAAAGAACTGATGAGGCACGAAACAATCATTTGTTTATGTATCATCTGACCCCCCTTCCCCAGTGTAATGTAAGCAAACAAGGGGAGGGAATTTGTCTGCCCCATCCTCTGCTAGAGATCCAGAGCCTAGAGCGGTGCTTGGCCCCTGGTGGGGTATGCTGGGAACTAATCAACTGAAGACAGGTGGGACCCAACTGGAAGGTGTTGACAGTCAGCTAAAGCATTTGGGATTTATCCTGGAGTCAGTGGTGAGCCTTCCGGAGGTTTAAAAATAGAAAAGGAACAAGATCTGCTGTGGGTGGGAGGAAATCGCTTTGACAATGATGCGATGATTGAAAAAAATCAGATTATGAAGACTTTTCAAGTTTTTTATAATTTTTATTGCTATTCTATTACAGTTGTCCCAATTTCCCCCCTTTGCCCTTCTCTGCCCATCCCCCCCTCGCCCCGCTCCCACAGTCAATTCCCACACCGTTGTCCATGTCCATGGGTCATTCATACATGGTTTTTGACTAGTCCCTTCTCCTTCTTTCCACCATTATCCCCCTTCCCCCTCCCTTCTGGTAACTGTCAGTCTGTTCCATGTTTCCATGCCTGTGGTTCTATTGTGTTAATTAGTTAATTTTGTTCTACAGAATGGGGATTCCTCTTACAGGTAAGATCATATGGTATGATTTGTCTTTCACTGACTGGCTTATTTCACTTAGCACAGTATTCTCCAGTTTTTTTTTTAATTTTTATTTATTGATTTTAGAGAGAGGAAGGGAGAAAGAGACATTCATTGGTTGATTCTTGTATGTACCCTGACCAGAGCATTAACCTGCGACGTTGGTGTATGGGGCTGAACGCCCTAACCAACTGAGCTACCTGGACGAGCCAGATTATGAAGCCTTAAATTAGGACACCGTCAATAAAAATGAGTGGTGTCAGGTTGAAAAGATATTGAGAATAATGACAAACAACTGACAAGTAGCTTTAATTTTTACAACGTCCCTGTGAGAAAGGTGGTTCCGCTTTTACAGAGGTGGAAATGGACGGAGGGAGGTTCAGGGACTTGGCCTAAATCCCACAGCAAGTTGGTGCTGTAGCCCAGGGGTTCAGTCTTCCCTTTGTGGGGTCCCAGGACCCAGTATATGAAGAGGATCCGACCCAGGAGAGTGGCGGCAGAAATTTACCATTTCGGTGCAATAAACTGCGGGAAAGCCAGCAGACCGCAACTAAAAGGACCTAGTAGCCACAAAGAATCAGCGGTGAAAGCGAGGTGGGGAGAAGGAATTTTGGGTTCCGGCGGCCGCCGTAGTAGCAGCGCTCTGTCTCCATGGCAATAGCAGGAAGCCGCGGGAGGTTTATGGACTGTGCAGCCACTACGGCCAATTGGACCTAACGCAGAGCCGTCCCGAGAGTGCAGGTGATGCGGCTGGGTGAGTGGAGGGACATGGGGTGTGGCCTCGGCAGAGGGCCGGGGCCCGCGAGAGAGGTGTAGCCCTTGAATCCCTGGATCCTCATTCCCACTCTCTGGATGAGGGGCCAACGCTGGGCCTCAGTTTCCCCAAAGGAAGTGGGTGGAAGGGAGTGGGCACCCCAGTCCAATGGCCCCTCGCAATCTCTGAGGCCCGGACTTTCTCTCCTTTGCAGCTCCTGAACAGACTGGCGCCGTCCTGCCCCATGGACGTGAGTCCTAGGCCCCCAAACCCCCTCTGGAGCAGCCCCCTCAGCGCCCTAAACTCACACCGACTTTGCCTGCCCTCCGGCAGCACTGGAGAAGACAATGTTTACTCAACAGAAGCCCCTCAGCTCAGGATAAGCGTTTTGAGAAAGAATGCCAGGGATGGGGGCTCTCCAGGGGAGGGCACTTTCCTACTCTTCCCTACGAGATGAAGTTTGCCAAGTAATCAATGAGAAAAGGCATTCCAGAGGGAACAGCATGGGCAGAGACCTTGGGGGCGGAGAGAAAGGGAGGGAGAGAGAGAGGATAGGGCATTTGGGGGACTGCTAGGACATAAGTATGGCCGGATAACGGGGAGGGAGGGAGAGGTGGGTGGGACTAGATCCGGGCTTTTGTCACTGAGGTGAGTTTGGACCAAGTCACTGAGAGCCATTGATGGATACGGAAGTAAGGGAGGTGTACACAAGGACAGCTAGTGTGGATAGAAAGGGGCAAAACTGTAGACTGGAAGACAGTTAAGGGGCAGTAATATTGGCTGAGGAATGGCAAAGAATCAGAGAGACAATGGGTCCATTTGGAGAGACACTCTGAAAGGAAGTTCGTTAAGTGTTGGTAAAGCCTAGAATGAGCACCAAGCCCTTTATGGTGCTGAAACAGGGATGACCGGAGAATAGGCAGGTCTGGACGGAAAGAGAGAGTAGTCCTTCTGACTCTCTCCCCACCGCCTGGTGGCTGTTCCTCCCTTCCCAGCCACCTCAATGTCCCTCCTGGTGTTTCTGTGTTCCTGCAGTCCCTCCTACCTCCTTGTCACCCCTTCCTCCTGTGCTCATTCAGGCCTCCTCTAGCCCTTGGAATCCCACCCCGGCTCCTGTCAGCAGTCGTTCCCTGCTACTCCCCATCCCTGCCATCGTCTTCATCGCTGTGGGCATCTATTTGTTGCTGCTAGGCCTAGTGCTGCTGACTAGGCACTGCCTGCTGGTGAGGAGCCTGGTGGGGACCGAAGGGGGGCTCTGGGGAAGAGGAACTGGGTTAACCTGTGCCCTCATCTGCAGGCCCTTAATCTGAGACTCCTTTGCCATTTAGTCCCCTCATCTGTTCTTTTCATGGCACCAGAGAGTTCCTCCCTTCTCCTGCCCCTCTCTCCAAAACTACGTCTTGGTTATCCTTCCCTCCACCTGGCCCAGACCCTGAGTCTGCTGTTTCCTAGGCCCAGGGCTGCTGCACCGACTGCAGCTACCCCTGCAGGAAGCAAGCTGCCTCCAGGCCCCAGGACTGTTGCTGGACCTGTGCAGAAGCCTGCGACTTCCCTCTGCCCAGCCCAGCTCACTACCTGGATGCCTGCTGCCCCCAGCCCACTGAAGCTGTGAGTTCTCACACTGCCCTCTGACTCCCTGTGCCCCAGTCTAGGCACTACCTGTGCATTCATTTTTGTCGTTGTTGTTCAACATTTATTATTCAGCACTGATGCTAGGCCAGGCGCAGTTCCAGGTACTGGGTCAGGTGGAGACAGCCAAAAACAACATCAACAACATATAGTGTGTAGTGATGAAAGCTACCTGGAAAAAGGAAAACAGGGTATCGGCTGGAGAAAGGCGATGTGTGTAACGTGCAGGGCACATAATCACTTCTGAAAATGGAAGTTAAAAGGAAAACACAGAACCTCTCACAGAGCTTTTTCTGCTCTTTGAGTGAATACTATGTTCCATTATTATTTTCTCAACAACCCTGGGAGCTGGATATTTTTAAAAACTGGTATATATTTTTTCTGATCACAGAAAATATTGATTACAAAGTGTGCATGTAGAAATATACAGAAAACACAAGGCAATTTATAAGCCAGCTTTCTAACCAAGGTTGCTGTGTTTTGTCTAGGACCCTCACATACTAACATTCAATACCATCACTGCTGAATTTTGCTATTATTTGGTAAAAATGGATCACACCACATATACTATGTCATTACAAATGCTACTTGCTTTTTTTAACTTGACATCATACCTTGGTCACGTCTCTATGCCTGTGCAGGTACGTAGGTCAGTACTGCTACCCTTTGGCAGGGGGATAAATTGGCTTAGGGAAATCTGTCACTTCTGCAATATTCCACAGTAGAGTCTTACAGAGAAAATTGTTCCATAGTGTGTTGGAACAGAGTCCTCAGGGAGAAGCCTGGCTTTCAGAGGATAGGCCACTTTTGCATTTGTGGGTTAAAAGGTGTTCAGTGTAACCCACTGCCTTCCTAGGCAATAATTATTTGGGGCTCATAGGGTTAGACAGTATAGCCCCTGCCCTTGAAGTGGCAACCTTCCCTGGGAGGGAAGAGTGAGGCTGGAAGACCAAGCAGATCCGTGACTTGCACTGACCGTGGTTGGTGCATTAAGGTCTCTGTTCCTCAGTTCCCTTAATAATGATAACAAACACAAATATTACAAAACCCTCTCCTACCTCACAGCTATAGAAACTGAAGCTCACAGAGGCTTGAGTGACTTGCTGGAAGCTTGGGCCAGGACAGAAACCTAGGTTCCTCTTCCTCTCTGGGGGGCGGAACCTGCCTGATCTGCTTCTTTCACAGAATGTCCCAAGTTTCTAATTCATTCATTGCTTATTCACTTAACCAAAGATTTATGGAGTCATTGTTGAGGCCCCACGGTGGGTCCTGGGGGCTCAGTGGAAACAGGGTGGACGTGGTCCCAGCCCGCACAGGGCTTGCACTCCGGTAGAGAACAGGGAGAATGCCGGTGAGCGGTGACAGTGTGTGAGAATGATGTGATGTAGCGCAGTGGCTGGGTCCCAGCCCTGTGTGTGATCAGAAGCAGGTATGAGGCTTAAACAGAAAGCCAGGCAATCAGGTCCGCCACACAGTAGTTCTGGGGCTGGTTGGAGTCGGTGAGTTTTTAACAAGTTCTCACGTGACCCCACCCTACACCAGGGTAAGGAACTGCTGCGGGGAGGACAATGTAGCTCCCGTTATTGAGTGCTCACTATGTACTAGGCATCGTGCTTAGTTCTTTCCACTGATTCTTCACAGTGACCTTAGGAAGTGGGTTCAGAGATGAGGAAACTGAGGCTCCAAACTTGAATTAGCCAAACCTGGGCCTGAACTGGGTTCAGAGCGGGGCCTGAGCTCTAACCGGTAAAGATGGCTGGCCTTCACCAAATCAAAGCAAAAGAAACCAAGTGAAAAACTGCAGAGCCTAGAGAAACACAAGGGTTAACAGTCTTGTGGAGTCCTTGTTTAATGTACTTAAACAGCAGATTCCTTCCCGAAGCCACCTGGCTGCCCAAGAGAGTTGAGAAATCCATTAGCCGGTTATTAATGACTAGATCCAACGGGCAGAGCCAGGAAATGCTTTCAATTCCCTCTTCTCTGAGTTGAGGGCAGGGAAACCCCTGTCAGCCACCAATTTTGTGCACAGAATGACAGTGTGGCCCTCCAAAACCCCACAGAGCCAGCTTCACCTGCAAACTGGGACTCCCCAAAGACACCCCCAACCTCACCCTCATCAAACACAAGAAAACCACTTGCTTCTCTCTCCCTTCCACTGTGGCACTTCTAGCCTCCTCCCTGAGAGCCATTTCTATGGGCAGCAGTTCCAGCCCAGTTCAGACCCTTCTCCCTGCAGACTGTAGGTCCCCTTCCCTCACTGGAGCCCCTAGTGATATCTGATCTCACCAGTCACCTGACACCGCACCCCGAAACCTCAGCTGTTCAAAAGGTCATTCCCCTATTCCTGGCTTGGCCCTGTGTCTAAGCTGTGCAACTGTGACTGTCACTAGCTCTGCCTCAGAACTCAAGGAGCCAATCTTCTGTCACACATCCTGGGCATGTCCCACCCAGCCACGTGGCCTGACTCCAGTCATGCCTGAAGCAGTGTCAGATCATTTCTGCCCCAGGACGGGAGAGCAGTGGGTTGGAGCAGGCTCTTCTCCCTGCCTGTCTTTAAGGACATGCCGTTCTTATTTCTCGAGGGACAGACCTGTTTCCCCTGGGAACTGAAACTTCTTTCTTTGCCTACAGAGGGAAAAATGATGTGCTTTAGTTTATCCATTCCTTCTACTTCATTGGTCAGCATGAGTTCCTGTGCTAGCTCAGTGGAGACATGAGATGAACTGTCCCTGCCCTTGGAGGCCCAGAAAGAAGCTGATGTTCCTGGCCTTGGGAGGCAGTGGGGCCTAGGGGGCTCTAAGGACCGGGAGCAGGCAGGCCAGTCCATCCCAGCCGCATGCCCTAGTTGTGTTCCTTCAGGCGGTCATTCCCCCTCTGAGCCTCCCTTCCCTCTTTTGTAAAGAGACCCCTACTCAAGGTTCTGATAATGAAGAGAGATACAACATTTTAAGACGTTAAGTTTTTTAAATATGCAAATTACCATTTTTAAAAAACACTAGAAAGATTTAAAAAATTCTTTCATGAACGCAGTGTATGCCTGGCGCAGAACAGTTGCTCAGAAATGATCAATGAGATCGTGCAGTTGGGTCTCTTACCAAGGAAGAAATCCACAAAACCAACAAGTTACCTTCATCACAGACAGGAAATGTGTGTGTGCTTTCCCGGCTACTGATTTTCCACTGCACGTAGCCACAAAAGTGTAGAACCATCTTGGAGCTAAAGATTGGGACACCCAAATTCTAGCAGGAACCAGGGCCAGTCACTCTCTGGTCCTTGGTCTCTTCACTTATAAAATGGGGAGAAAGAAAGAGCACTCCAAATAATTTCTTCCAGCTCCTAAGCTTAGTTGTTTGGACCTTTGCCTTCTTGCTGATTTCTCAACAGCACAGGGAATTGACTTGTTCCTAGGATTAGTGGATGGTACTCTCTGTTCCACTGGGCCAATGGGACTTCTCTCCTAAGAGGGAAAGTTTCAGGCTCTGGTCCCCCTTCTTCCTGCCCAGTTCCCTCACTCCTTTCTCCTTTCCCTCAGGGTTGGGCCCCTCGTTGCCCTCCTTGCTGCCCACTCTGCGATTGTGCCTGTGCGTGCCAACTTCCCGACTGCCAGAGCCTCAACTGCCTCTGCTTTGAGATCAAGCTCCGATGAAGACCCAAAGCCCCTGCCCTCTGGGGAGTGGCCAGCCCCCAGGGCCCATGTGCCCTCTTCCCTGAGGGGCCTCAGGACTCCTTTCTCCAGGCCGCTGAGACCACAAATGAGCTGCCTGGCTCCCTGGCCTGGGAACCAGCAGTGGAGAACTTGGTTCTCGGCAGAGTAAGACTCAGAGCCCTTGGCTGGCTAGACTGCAACCCTTTCATAGGGCCCACAGAGAGAGGGGCTAGTGTTCTGTCTGGCAGATTCCCCTGCTCTCCTTTTCCCCTCCCCAAGCAAGCTCAAGTTTGAAGGTAAGGGTGGGGGGCACTGCTAACCATAGACAACATTATGGGAGGAATTTGGGCCTTAAGTATCAGGATATAAGGGTACCCTAGCATACACGGTCCATGGGCTCTTGGTTATTTTGAGGTGTGAGTGTAATGCCGGCATCTGCTCTCCCTGGAAAGAAGTGGGCTCCAGCCCTGACCGGTGTGGCTCAGTGGGTTGGGCCTCCTCCCACAAAGTAGAAGATCACCCAGGTTTGATTCCTGTTCAGGGCACAATGCCTGGGTTGCAGGTTTGGTGTGGAAGGCAACTCATCGATGTTTCTCTTGTGCATCAATGTTTCTACCTCTTTCTCCCCACCTTCCCATCTCTCTAAAAATAAATCAGATCTTAAAAAAAAAAAAAGAAAAAGAAGTGGGCTCTAGAGAATTGTAACAGCCCCCATCAGAGCCCAGTAGGAAGGGCAGGAAATCAGAGGAAGAGGCAGGGAGGGCCACATGATGAGTCCCCTTTCCCCTTCTTTCCTCACAGATCCCTGTCCAAAGATTTATTTCCTTTTTGAGGGCCTCAGTCTGGATTTCCAAGGAAGAAATTTCCTCAGAAGTACTGGTGAGTGGGCAGGGGGCCCTCCCCCACCCTCAAAATAGGGCCGGCCCACAGCTCCCTCCCCCTTTTCTCACTCTGGGCCCCATGCTGGCCTGAATGTCAGGAGCTTCAGGTTTCCCTAAATATAGGTCCCTGCCAGGGAATCCGTGGCCGGAAAGGGCAGGGGTCACTGGAGAAGGTTGGGGACATAGTTTGGGGGAGGGCAGGAGCTGCCTTTATAACCCAGCCCGGTTCGGCCTGGCTCACTCGCTGCTGACCAGGCTGTGCCCGCTTCTTCGGTCTCCTCCATCCAGGTGGGCCCCAGGTGGACACAGCTGGGGTGGGGTAGGGCTGAAGGTGTCCAGATTAGCAGGGGAGACCTAGAATGAGGGGACAGGGGCTGAGAATGTATCTGGGAGGCTGACCAGCGCCAGACCAATTTTATTGGTAGGGAGATAGATGTCAGGGCCAAGGGAGGAGTTTCGCAGGGGCTCTGACTTGCTTGAGCTGAGCACAGCCGGCCACTTGCCTCACGGTCTGGCTTTGCGTGACGCCGGGGCTTCAGGCAGGTCGGCCCCTGACAGAGCACGGACAGGCTGGCCCAGGCAGGCGGCCCCTGGAACCTGACAGGCACCGATGGGGCGCGGTTGGGGCGGGTCACCCAGAACCGCTGTCGCCTGGCTTCCAGCCAGCCTGGCCACCTCCTTGCGTTCACTGTGCGTCCACTCGCCTTTTCCTCGGCCTCTTACTCCTGGGCCAGTGACACAGGGAGGGGCGGCCCAGTGTTCCATAGCCCGCCAAGTCCAGCCTGCTGGCGAGGTCGTCAGAAGTCCTAACTCTGGATTCAGCGACCACGTGACACGCTGCACTCTGCAGCAGCGTACCGTCGGAAGCTGGGGCTGGGCCGGGCCTGGGAGGGGAAGCTGAGCTTCGGTCATCTCGGGCTCCTCTACCGGCGCACCCGCCCCACCACCCCACCAATCCCCATACCCTCCGGTGCCAAAAAACGGCTGAGTCACGGTGCCCCAAAGTGCGTCAGGCTGGGAGGAAAAGGAGAGGGGAGGGTCTGTACCCGCTCGGGATGTGGCCCGAGTCACGTCCGTAGAGGGTTGGGGGAGGGATCTTGTTCTCTCCGCCTCCGGGTTTCGCCTTTGGGGGCGGTGGCTCGCACAGTTCCTCGCCTGCAATTGGACGACCGGGCGCCTCCAGCCCCAGCAAAAGAAAAGGGGGGAAAAAAAAAAAAGCCCGGCGGAGGGTGGAGCGGTGCTCTCCGAAGGTGCCGCACCACCTCCTTCCTCCTTTCTCCCCGCCCCTTGCGCCGCCCACAAGGGAGCTTAATAGGCTGCGTTCCTCTTGGAACGCGCCGCAGAACCAGGGAAGTAGTGACGACTGCTGCGTTCGCTCCCCCCGTCCAAGTCGCCATCCCGCCGCTCTCCACCGCTGCACCGCGCAAACCCGCCCCTTCCCTGTGCCAGGTGAGCGCTTTTCGCCATGTGCGAGGGTCAAGGACCATGGAGAAGGATCCTGGGACCGTGGCGGGTCGGGAGAGCCCCCTGAACCCGATCCTAGCATCACCGCCCCCCCCCCCCCGCCATACACACAAGCTTCCAGCCCAGACCCCCAACCCTCTCTAGCAGGAGCTCACTCGGTTTACTGCGCAATGCGGAGGCTCTGCGCGCTGAGTCATGGCGGGGGAGGAAGCAGGACGAGATGAAAGACCATCCCCTTTTCTTGCCGGGACCCCTGGTGCAAAGGGTTATGGCCCCTTTGCCTCTGCAGGGATTTTAAGAGGCTGAGAGGGGTGGGGGCCAGCTCAAATACTGCTTCAGGGTTCCGAAAGTGGGTGGTTGGCTCCGGTCCTGGGAGACAGGCGCCCCTGGCGAGGAGGGGACAACCCTTGGCAACGCCTGTTGCCCCATTAACACTTTCCCTGTCTTTTCTTATCGGGTGACCTTGATTCTGAGCCTGGACAGCCGCAGCCCTTCGAGCAGACGGGAGCGTGTTTCAGGGGGAAGGGGTGGGGCGCTTGCCTCTCCTCCACACTCTCACCCTGCATGAGCAGTGAGATCGGCAAACCTTACCCCTTTCCTCCTCCTCGGGCTGGGCTTCCTCTGCTGCCCTTTCCTAGGCTCTGATTTCCTCCTACCGTTTTCTCAACACCCTTTTCCTAAGGCCCTCCCCCACCCTGGGGTGGGGAAGCCTGACCTTGGAATGTCCTTGAGGCCTTGGTGCCTGTTCCAGCTGTGGGATCTTGGGTGGATTGGAAGGAACAGTCCTATAGCAGTCGAGAGATCTGGGTTCTAGTCTCAGATCTGTCCCTTGGATTGCTGTGTGACTTGAAGTATACAGACCTTTCTCTGCTCCGGGTCCTTCCAGACAAGGGGGTTGGGCCCCCTGCCTTATGCAGGACCTCCATATTCTGAAAGACTTCAGTTCGATTTTGCTTCTAGGCAAGGTGACCCCATGGCAAAGCGCAAGCCAGAAGGGTCCAGCTTCTGCATGAGCCATCTGTCCATGGCTCTGGCCTATTCCTTTAGCCCAGATGCCAGTGTGCAACCCCACCCTCAGCTGGGCCACACCCAGCGACACACAGAGTTAGGAAAGGTACAGGAGGCAGGCCTAATATAGGGAAGTTGGGTGCAGGGGAGAGCTGGGGGCAGGAGGTGCCCCAAAACCTGCTGGGAATGGGGCAGGGGAGGTAGGGAGTCTTTGCCCTGACCTCCAGGCAAGGGACCCTGCTCATTGGGAGACCACGGAAAGACCCAGCTAACTAGTGCTCCCCCTGTCTTCTCTGCCCAGAAACTGACTGGCACCATGCCCTACCAATACCCAGCACTGACTCCGGAGCAAAAGAAGGAGCTGTCTGACATCGCTCAGCGCATTGTGGCTCCGGGCAAGGGCATCCTGGCTGCAGATGAGTCCACTGGTACGGGCAGGACACAGTGAGGGGAGGGCCCAGGGTTGGGGGTAACTGGCTGATCCCCTTAAGACTGTGTGCTGCTCCCTTCCAGGGAGCATTGCCAAGCGGTTGCAGTCCATTGGCACCGAGAACACCGAGGAGAACCGGCGCTTCTACCGCCAGCTGCTGCTCACTGCTGATGACCGTGTGAATCCCTGCATTGGGGGTGTCATCCTCTTCCACGAGACACTCTATCAGAAGACAGATGATGGGCGTCCCTTCCCCCAAGTTATCAAATCTAAAGGTGGTGTTGTGGGCATCAAGGTGAGGAGGCTGGGCCTTGGGGTGTGAGATCTGAGATGAATCTGGGAAAGAGAAATCCAGAGTAATAGGCTAGGGGGCAAACATTGGGCTGGGAGCCTGGTGACTTGGGTGGAATCTGCACCAGATCCATGTAAGGAAAGCTAGAAACTGTGCGCCCTGCTTCGTATTTTTAACCTTTGAAGTTGTAAGAGCAAGGCATTACCCTCACGGTACAGATGAAAACCAGAAGCTCAAGGCAGGGAAGTGTTTTGATCATAGAATTAGGAAGTAGTAGGAGCCAGGCTCTTGTCAAATAACAACCCCATGTGTCCTGCTCATAGGATCAGATACTATAACTACATGAAAACATTTACAGACCCGGAGATGCCACTTGAGAGATGAAGGTGGGGGCAGAGTAGGGCTCTAGAGCAGAAAAGGGTAGCAGAGACCGCTCACCTGTCTTACATTGTCCTATCCCAACAGGTAGATAAGGGTGTGGTACCTCTGGCAGGAACAAATGGCGAGACTACTACCCAAGGTGAGAATTGTTTGGCATCTTGCCCTACCAACTATCCCATGCAGTCAGCGCCCCTCTGGGTGCCCAGGGTAAGTGGGAGCCACCTGCCCCCTCCTCTGCCACTCTGACTTCTACATCCCCTCTCCAGGGCTGGATGGGCTGTCTGAGCGCTGCGCCCAGTACAAGAAGGACGGAGCTGACTTTGCCAAGTGGCGCTGTGTGCTGAAGATTGGGGAACACACCCCTTCATCCCTTGCCATCATGGAAAATGCCAACGTTCTGGCCCGTTATGCCAGCATCTGCCAGCAGGTGGGCTTGCATGTTCCCTGCAGGCCAGCTCCCACCTTGTTTGGTTTCAGAGTGTCAGCCAGCCTGCCACCCATCCGCCAGGATATCTACATCCCCCAAAGCAGCAACTGTTCCACATCCTTACTAGTCATCAGGTTTGGTGCTGGGGACTCGGAGCATGGGGACAGGACAGGGCTCGTGTGGGTGGATCTGAGGAGATCCTGTCTCCTACAGCCCTGCAAAGCTGAGTCTCTGCCTTCATGGAGATAAGACCTTGGCCAGTGGCTCTGGAGAGCTATAGGTTGGGCTCCAGTTTAGGAGGTCTCATGGCTACTCTCTTCCCTCATCCACAGAATGGCATCGTGCCCATTGTGGAGCCTGAGATCCTCCCCGATGGGGACCACGACTTGAAGCGCTGTCAGTATGTAACTGAAAAGGTAGGTTGCCTGCCTGCCTGGGCAGTGTGGTGGGTTAGGTAGCTGGACCGTGGGCTCTGGGGCTGACTCTGGTCCTCACTTTGGTCTTGCCCTAGGTGCTGGCTGCTGTCTACAAGGCTCTGAGTGACCACCACATCTACCTGGAAGGCACCTTGCTGAAGCCCAATATGGTCACCCCAGGCCATGCTTGTACCCAGAAATTTTCTAACGAGGAGATTGCCATGGCAACTGTCACTGCATTGCGCCGCACAGTGCCCCCTGCTGTCCCTGGTGAGTCCCATACTCTCATATTGCCCTCTGGGAGATTGTACCCACAAACCTTATGCCCATTGGTGTGATTTCCAGGTCAGCTTCTAGGAACTCCTGCCAGTGCCCTGAGTCTCTGACTACAGTCCCTCCTGCCATTTCACCCTGTTTTACAGGGATCACCTTCCTGTCTGGAGGTCAGAGTGAGGAGGAGGCATCCATCAACCTCAACGCAATCAACAAGTGCCCCCTGCTGAAGCCATGGGCCCTGACCTTCTCCTATGGCCGAGCCCTGCAGGCCTCTGCCCTGAAGGCCTGGGGAGGGAAGAAGGAGAACCTGAAGGCTGCCCAGGAGGAATATGTCAAGCGAGCACTGGTGAGGATCAAGCAGGAGGTGGGGCGAGTGCTGGGGTGGATGGGATTCTGAGAACAGATCTTCTTACTCTGGCTCCTCTCCTCTCTTAGGCCAACAGCCTCGCCTGCCAAGGAAAGTACACCCCAAGCGGTCAGGCTGGGGCTGCAGCCAGCCAGTCCCTCTTCATCTCTAACCACGCCTACTAAACAGAAGTGTTCTAAGGCTGCCCCCTCAACACTCCAGGCCCAGCCCCCTCCCACACGCAAACTTGAAGAGGGGGCCTCATCAGGGGCTCCAGGCTGCTGTTTCCCACTCTTGCCTTCCTTGTGACATTGGTGCGTGGTGTTGTCTGTGTATGCTAACTCCAGTGCTCTTTCCAGCCCACTGCCAATAAACAACTATTTAAGGGGGAGTTTCTTGTTCCTGTCTATAGTGTCTGGGTCAGGGGAGGGCTCTGCCAGGTGGCAGAGTCCAGAAGAAAGAGACCTTTTAAAAAAAAAAAAAAAAGATTTTATTTATTTATTTTTAGAGAGGGGAAGGGAGGGAAAAAAGAGGGAGAGAAACATCAGTGTGTGGTTGCCTCTCATGCACCCTCCTACTGGAGACCTGGCCCATGGCCCAGGCACATGCCTTGACTGGGAATCAAACCCTTTGGTTCGTGGGTGGGCATTTAATCCACTGAGCCACACCAGCCAGGGCAGAAAGAACCCTTGTTCTATGTTCTTCCTTCTTAGGCAGGAAAAAGGTAAAGGGTGGGGTAGGCATTTCCTTCTTTGTTTTATAATTGCCCAGGGCTTCAAGAAGAGAGCTTGTGAAATTTTCTTCAAACCACCAAGATCTCTTATCCCCTCTACCAGCAGCATCAGATAAGACTCATAATGGGAGAGTGTGTGTATAAACTGCCTGCTGTGTGAGCTGCAGGGTCAGTCTCACTTCCAGGCCAAGAACTCACAGGTGCCAGGTGGTCCTTGTGACAAAACAGCCACTGACGCAAGTCAAGATTTCCAGAGTCTGTGAGCAGGCAATTGAGTGTTCTATATGAGTAGGTGCCGTTATCATTGCTGGAGATGGCACTGTTTCTTGGTGGAAATAAGATTTTTTTAAAAGATTTTATTTATTTATTTATTTTTAGAGAGGGAAGGGAGGGAGAGAGAGACATCAATGTGCGGTTGCTGGGGGTCATGGCCTGCAACCCAGGTATGTACCCTGACTGGGACTCGAACCTGTGACACTTTGGTTCGCAGCCCGCGTTCAATCCACTGAGCTACGCCAGCCAGGGGAAATAAGATTTTTAATGCACACCTTCATCTACCCTGTTGAGCTTGTCCATCTTCCCATCCAAATAGGAAGTGGGATTAGAGCTGGCTTCTTAGTCGTCTTGAGCTGTGGAACCTCTTGAAGAACCTGGAATCTTCTCCAACACCTCAACAGTGCAGACACAAACACAGAACTCAGGTTCCAGGTTAAGAACTGAGCCTGTAGCTGCTGCATTCCCTGAAGCCAGAATGGGGGCCATGCACTTATCCCTATGCCGTGCCTTGAACCCTTCCCTAACCCAGGGTGGGGTGCAGCAGTATACACCAGAGTCTCAGTTGATAAAACATACTAGTCATAACCAGGGACCCAGTATTCCTGTCACTTCCCAAATTTTCTGATATGGACCTTTTTCTGTCTGAGCTCCCTGCAGGGGAGAAAAGAAATTCTGACCTTTCTGATCTCTCTGAACCTACCAAATCCATGTAGTGATAGGCACGGAACCAATTTACCTAGGACCTTCTAGGAGTTTAAGAACTTGATTATTTCTTTGCACATTTGCATTTGTTTCCTACATACAAAACCAGCCTCTCCTGGTACCCCTCAAAACTTCAGCCCTCACTTCTGTGCCTACTGTTAACTGAAACATCTGAAATTAGGCACATGAAAATCTAAGGGCAATAGAAGATAGTGAAAAGGACATTCCAAAAGGGAGCAGCCTCTGCAAGACACCATGAAGTTTGCTTAAAGGGACTAGGGGAACAGAGAAACTCAAATAACACTTTAGGCAGTCTTGAACTTCTTAGGACAAAGTGAGTTCCAGAAAGTCTTAATTTAACAGCTTTCCTGGGTTGATATTTCAACCTTAATTCAAACCCAAAATTCTTAGCTATGCAAACGTGAACAAGTTACTTAACCTCTCTGAGCCAGTTCCCTCCTTAAAAAAAAAAGGAATAAAATTTGTAGACAACAGAAAGCAATTTATGGTTATCAAGGGGACCATTCTGTAATCTGGTAGGCCATGTTGACTGAGGCATAAGCTTGGTGCACTCCTTTCTGCCTCTAACTTCAGAGGTCCTGGCGGAGATTTTTTTTGTGGCAATGGAGAGAGAATTAGGCTGATACCCCTTCATTCATTAAATAACTACTTATATATGCCTATTGTGCCAGGCTTTGTTCTAAGCAGTGGGACTGCAAGGGTGAACCAAAGTTCCATTCCTCAGAGACTGTAATGGGGGAGGCCGCCTAAAACAGGTAAACGTGTGGCAGAAAGTTACAAGGCAGAGAGCCCCGGCTAAGCTTGAGTTTCCTAGAGCCTGGAGGTGACTCGGCTAGGGTGTCTCAGACCTCAGAGCGACAATCCGCCTGGCCCACAATAACTTGCGTCCGCAAGGGGCTGACATCCGGTTCCTCCGGCTCCGTACCGTTCTTAGGCTCGAGCGGTGGGGTTAAGGGCGCGGCGTGGGACGGGGAGGGTGTGTATGACGCCACATCCGACGCGCGGCGGAACTGCACTCCCTTTGCTGCCGCGGCGGGGCCGGAAGTAGAAGCGGCTGTGGCGGCGGCGCAAAGCTGAGGGAAGTAGGAAGGCAGGGAGCCGGCGAGCCGGAGCCGAAGTCACAGCGGCGGTAATAGTCGGAGACCCCTGTAGGCCACCGTCCCTAGCGCGGGACCGCGGGGTTCGATGGGAGTTAGCAGGCGGCAGGAAGGGCGGTGGGACGCTGTGAGGAGAGGCTGGGGGAGGGGGGCGGCCCAGCTCAAAATAGTTGCCCCCTCCCCCAGCCCGCTCTAAACCCTGGGACCCCGTAGGGACATTCTTATCCCGGCTCGTCGTCACCTTTCCCAGGAGACCCCTGTGCGGTGCGGAGGGGGCGGTGGCCCCGGCTCTGACCCGCGCCGGGGGAGGGGTTGGGCCATGGCGGAGATCAGCGACCTGGACCGGCAGATCGAGCAGCTGCGGCGCTGCGAGCTCATCAAGGAGAGCGAAGTCAAGGCCCTGTGCGCCAAGGCCCGGTGAGTCCCCCGGCCGTGGGGAAGGGGTTCCGCTGCCCAGGGGTTCTGGCTAGGGCCTATCCAGCCGAGAACCTTGGGCCTGGCTCATCCTGGAAACATTCCCAGAAAAGAGCAGACTAGGGCCACTTCCCTCGAAGAGCAACCAGCCTGTAGGGGGAAGACGGCCCTGGGTAAAGACACTTAAAGTTTTAGGTAATGTGTTTTCGGCGAAGTTAGGGAAAGTAGTTAAACTCAGGGAAACAACCCTATCGGTTGGGGTAACAGGCAAAGGATTTTTGGAGGATCTGAACTTCGGGGGTAGGCCTTGAGGAATAAGATGAAAAAAGGGGGTGACAGCAAGAACAGAAGTTCAAGGCAGAAAAGCTAAAGACTGTGGTTTATAAAGTACTTTTAATTTCAGCAACAACCCTTAAAGTTGGGTAGTATTGTTCCCATTTTACAGATGAGGACTCATGTTAAGAGTCAACCAGCAAATAGGGGATGGAGTCCGAAGCCAATTACTCCGTGTTCTGTCCTTTTCAAGCTGTAATGCACGGTGGGGTTGGATCAATGTGCGCGCCTAAGACGTGGTAGAAAGTAAGCCAGAGTGGAATTAAGCATCATAAAGAGGGAGGCCCAACTCAAGAGTTCTGTGGGAAGTAGGATGATGTAGTGATTAAGATCTCAGGCTTTGGCCCTGGCTGAGTGGCTCAGTTATTTGGAGTATTGTCCGGAACACCAAAACACTGTGGGTTTGATCCCTGATCAGGGCACATACATAGGGTAGGTTGCAGTTTCAGTCCCCAGTCAGGGTATGTATAGGAGACAACCCATCCACACTTTTTACTCCCTATCTATCTATCTATCTATCTATGCCACCACCACCCCCGCCCGCCCTTTCACTCTCTCCCTACCTCTCTAAAAAAATCAATGAACATATCCTTGGGTAAAAGTTAAAAAAAAAAAATCCCAGGCTTTGGAATCTCATGGCTATAGGTCAGAATCTGAGCTCTGCAACTTAGAAGCTGTATTGGTGATCTTGAGGTCTCTGAAACTCAGTTTTTTCATCTGCAAAGTGGGAGTAATAGTACTTAATAAGATGATTATAGTCAACTAAGTTAGGGCTTGGGATGAGGTTAGCATAGTGCTTTTGTTCAGTGTAAGTGCACAACAATCGTTAGAAGTTGTTATCATTACAGTACTGTGTAGAAAGAGTGTAATACTGGTATGCTGATATGGACTGAAGACGCCAGGGGAGGCTTCTAGGAGAAGGTGGCCTTGAAAGATGAAAATAATTTGGAAAGCTAATGGGAGCAGGGCCAGTGAGGAAGGCATTCCAAGCAGAATGACAGTAGGAGTAGAGACCCCAAGATATGTGGGCATCAGTGAGGAGACCAGTTATCTGCCTCCTCTGAGGCACTGTCTGTCTGGCTTCCACAGGCTGGAGAATTGTGAGAAAAGAGCCAGCAGAACTACCCTATATTTATTGAACAACAGGCCCAAACAGCTGTTAGTGTGGCTTTGTCCTGGCAAAGATTTTCTACCCATTTTCTCCCTGCAGCAATCTTGTGAGGCTAGAATTGCTTGCTCCGTTTTACAGAACGGGAGGCCGTGACTCCTAGAATCCTAGTGACTTGACGGAGGTCACCCAGAGAGAAAGTGACACAGCTGTGCTCTGAACTTGTGGCCGTCAGGCTCTTTGCTTGGCTTCACCCCCACCCCCATCACACCCCAGACCTGTAGCTCCCTGCATGGGTTTGGTGAACAGGCAAAGTCTTTTTAAATGCTTGTCTGTGGCTTTTCCATGTTTTGCTTGCTTCCTCTGTCTCGATGGGCATTTTTAGGAACTTAAACCAATTGCTACCTGGCACCATTCTTTTTCCCAAAAGTCTTATCTCCCCCTACAGGACCTTGGTCAGTTTGGCGGTGATGTTAGCTAATGTTTGTGTAGCATGGTGGAGTTTTCAGACTAACAGAGAAGTGATTTTATATATATATATATATATATATATATATATATATTCCCCATTGTTCTTTGCTGCAGCCCAGTGAATAGGCGGGGCAGGGTTAAGTATTTCACAGAAGAGAAAACCAAGCCTCAGAAAGGATAATGTCTTGCCCCCAGTCTCATAGCTGGTTGGAGGGGAGGTTGGTTTTGGATCCAGGTCTTTTACCGTACTCCATGCTCATGGACAGCCAGGCAGAGACATTTGGGCTGTGTGAGAACTAGTGGGCAGTTACAGAGAGCTGGTGTGGGAAGGTTCTGCCCAGCTGAAACTGAGATGGAGCTAGGAGGTACTAGACTGAGGCCTGAGTTAGCCACTGTCATCCCAGGCCCAGTCGGAAGAAGGGCCAGTTCTAGCACCTGGCCATGGTGCCTCCTGGGGACCCACCCAGGACCCAGACCAAGGCCGGTAGTGTCAAGAACTTCAGCTTGCTCAGTGGGCATGCAGACTCAAACCCTGGGAATTACGGTGGCCTGAAGTGTGTGAGCCTAAAAAGTCAGCATATTTGAAGGGTGGGACTTTTTTTTTTTTTAATATTTACCCAAAGATATATTTATTGGTTTTGAGAGAGAGGAAGGGAAAGAGAAACATTGATGTGGTGGAGCAACATGGGTTGCCTCCCGTACGTGTCCTGACTGGGGATCAGACTCACAGCCTTTTTGGTGTATTGGATGATGCTCCAACCAACTGAGTGACCCAGCCGGGGCTGAAGAGTAGAGTGTTTTGAATCAGGTGGTCCTCAATATAAATTCCATCTCTATGAACAGTATGACCCTGGTCAAGTCATTTTACCTCTCCAAGTCTTTGACACCATTGTGAAACTCAGTGACATTCTTCATATCCAGGGACAGGCCCTGGCACTTTGGTAAGCAGTTACGAAAGTCATGTTAGTTGTGGAAGTAAAGGTGAGCAGGTGTGAGCCTTGAGGGGGCTGGTGATGTGCTTGCTGCAAGTGACGGGCATGGGGTCGGAGGCTGGGCCTGGGTCTGGTTCCTCCAGACCACGCTGGGGCCTTACTAGCACTAGGGTGGGGTTTTGACCTGTAGTGTGGAAGGGGCTGGCATAAATTCTCAGGCAGTTGGGCTCCTGGATTTCAATTCAGACACTCCTTCAGCCTTGGGACCTTGATCCTGCCCCTTTTTTCTCTAAGCCTCAGTTTCTTCATTTGTTAGATGAGGGTGAAAAGAAGCCTCCCAAGTCAGTTGGAAAGGTTATAATAAGCAGTATAAAGGATGTTCAGCACAAGTTGTAGTGCAGGTGGGAGCGCCTGGTTCTCCGTGACCCCTGAGACTACAGCCAGTGCCTTCTTCCATTCCCAGAAAGCCAAAGCACACCTCCCTGAAGCTGCCTTTGTTATGAAGAGCACCCTGAGGGACAGGGGAGGAAACCCTGAGTTGAGAGGGGCCTCCTCTAGTGGGAGGAGACGCAGAAAGAGTGAGGGCTGAGCAAGTGCCTGGACCACATCAGAGTGGCCTGATGAAAGAGCTCCATACTCTGGAGCCAGGCTGCCTTGGTACAAGTCCCACCTATATGACTTTAACCATTTTCTTCATCTGAGAAGTGGGAATGATCACAGTACCTGCCTTTGAGGGCGTGGTTCGATTGCATGCATCATCCATGCAAAGCTCTTACTGCAGCTTGGCACGTGGTGTGAACTAGAATGTTCACTGCTGCTGTTATCATTGAGGATAAAATCTGGGAATAACGGTACTTCTTAAATTGGATGTCTGAACCTGACAGTGGTTTTGTGTCATGCTCACTGAGATAGAAGTAGACTGTACTGCAAGGAGAGGTGAAAGGACGAAGTCCTCACTTCTCTAAATAAGTAGTGAAAAAGTAGCAACACTGTTTCACATTGAAGATTACTTTGATGACTGGCCTGCCCAGGACAGGTGCCTGTATGCCTTCCGACAGACTTGGGGCAGCCCCCTGTGATGGGCAGAGAGGGACTGTAAGTGCTCAGCCAGGGGCACAGCCTCATGGCACTCCAGGCTGAGGGAGCAGCGGGAGCAGAGGGCTCTGTGGGAGAGGAGATCTGTTTTTTGGGAGTACTGGATGCATGAAAGGGAGCAGAGAGGTTGGGGGGTGGTCAAGGCTGGGAAAATCCCAGCCCACTCGGGAGGGCTTTGAAACCTGGAACAAGTGTTTGGGCTTTGGCCTGTTGACAGTAGGGGAACCATGGGTGTTGAGAGCAGTGGGGGCCATGGTCAGCCTGTCCTGGAGAAATTGCACACCTCACTCCTGCCTTATAGAGGTTCAGGGACTGGCGCATACCCTCCCATCCCCCCATAAAAGAAGGTCAGGGATTGGCCTGGCCTGGCCTGGCTGTGGTGACCCTGGTCTTCTGTCTCCAGAGAGATCTTGGTAGAGGAGAGCAACGTGCAGAGGGTGGATTCGCCTGTCACAGTGAGTACTCTCTGTCCCTCCAGAGCCTGGCTAGGTCTTTTAGGCACAAATGCACTCCCAGTAGTCTTTTGGGCTCTCTCATCCTCGGGAGCCCCATGTTCAAGGGACCCTCACTATAAGAAATGCATGTTTTGGGAAGGGTCTTTTGATTTGTTGGAGGGATATGCTTGGTCAGGGCAGAACGGCTTTTAATTTGGCGAGTGATTCTATGCCATGTGTTCCTATGTGTTGTTATTAGTAACTTCATTCTGGGTACCTTAAGGGGAGCAGGGAAAGGGCCAGGTCCTCCAGGAGTGGAGGTCCAGCTGGAAAGACCTGGCTCTAGCTCTTGCCCAGGGAATACTTGGCACTCAATGTGGGGTGGAGGTTGATCCAGACCAGGCTACCTGGAGTGGGAGAGTAGATTTTGGGCCCTGAGAATAGAGGTTTAGCCAAGAGTGGTAATTTGAAGATAGTGCCCAGGAGCAGAAGCTTTCAGACTGAGGTCCCATCTACCTTCTCACTTCCCAGGTATGCGGTGACATTCATGGACAATTCTATGACCTCAAGGAGCTGTTCAGAGTGAGTGTGGGTAAAGACTGGGGAGGATGACCTGGAGGGTTGACTGGAAGGGCCCTTTGAGAGGGAGAGTTTGAATTTGGTGAGTGGAATGGGGGCAAGAGGCCTCTAGTTAGGTGGGCCCTTTGTGGGAGAAGGGCTTCAACTTGACTGAAAACGGGCCACAGTGGGGAGTAGGGGACAGTTTAGGACCAAGCAGAACCTTCTCCCTCCCCCCAGGTGGGTGGCGACGTCCCTGAGACCAACTACCTCTTCATGGGGGATTTTGTGGATCGTGGTTTCTACAGTGTTGAAACGTTCCTCCTGCTGCTGGCACTTAAGGTGGGAACTGCTGTCTTCTGGAGCCCAAACCTGGGCCACCTCAGGCCTGACCAGTCTGCATCCTTTTCGCCCTCCTCTCCTGCTTCATCCACCCCCAACTCTGAGCTGTGCTGCTGGTGATGACAGATTCTGCTTGGCAGGGTGGTCACAGAAGCTTTCCTTGACTTGGGGCCATGTGATTGGGCCCCTAGAGGATGAGGTCAGAGGAGCGGCATTGTAGGGGGAGGGAATAAAGGCTCTGTGTTCAGCAAGTGACAAGGGGTTGAGTTCACCAGGATACAGCATCCACTGGTGGGAGTGGTTGTAAGGGGCCAGATGACAAAGCGCCTTGAATGTCTTGCTTAGGACTTGGTCTCTTATCTTGTAGGTAAAGGAGGAGTCATTAGGTCTGTAGTTGACGGGGTGGGGGGCGGGGGGTCAGCTTTGTATTCTCTGGAGGAGGGACTGGGAGCCTGTGAGGTGGGTGCAACACCATTCATACAAGAGATGACATCAGTCTGGGGCAGGGTGGTGGTGATGAGGATGGAGTGGGGCTTGCAGATGGGAGGAGATTAGGAGGAAAGGACAGAGCCGTGACCCCAGCCCTGGCTTGGTGGTTACGTCCAGGTTCGCTATCCTGACCGAATCACCCTGATCCGGGGCAACCATGAGAGCCGTCAGATCACCCAGGTCTACGGCTTTTATGACGAGTGCCTGCGCAAATATGGCTCGGTGACCGTGTGGCGCTACTGCACTGAGATCTTTGACTACCTCAGCCTGTCGGCCATCATCGATGGCAAGGTAGGCTGGCCACAGTGCTCCATGGAGGTTGGTAGGAGGGGTGAGAAGGGCGCTGGGCCTCAGCCTCCCCACTCTCCCGCTTTGCTCTCCCCTGTAGATCTTCTGTGTGCACGGGGGCCTCTCCCCCTCCATCCAGACCCTTGACCAGATCCGGACAATTGACCGAAAGCAAGAGGTGCCTCACGATGGTCCCATGTGTGACCTGCTCTGGTCTGATCCTGAAGGTGAGGGCAGGTGGGGCAGGGACAGCCGAGCTTTACCCTTAGTTTGGCAAGAGACTAAGGGAGCCCTTTGGTTAAAACAAGTACCTTGAAGGGACGGTGAGGCCAGGTAAGTTGTAAGAAGAGTAGAACAGGCTGGTCTTCACTGGTGTCCGTGCTTGACTTGGGGACTGGCTGACACCCTCAGAGCAGGAATGTGGGAGGCTGGGCATTTTGAGCTCTGATGGAATTAGGCCTGTATATTAGAGACTTATTTGAAAAAACTGTTGGCGCTCTGTTTGTACAGGGGTTTCTGTAGAGATCAGATACCTGGAATGGTAGACCCCTGAGAACTCCTCATTTTGTGGGGTTCCCCAGCTGGTATAGAGCAAAGCTGAGATTAAAAGTCAGGTATCCTAGGTCCCAGTCCAGAGCTCCTTGTGCTGTACCGCAGACAGCCTCCACCTCACGGCCGTGCCCGACCACCCTCTTACTACTCCTAGACAGCCCTTGTGCACACCTGCTGTGCCGGTGTGGTTCTCAGGAGCACCTCCTTTCGCTCTCCTGTGTCTAGTTGGACAGTAAGTTGCACAGTCACTGTGACTATGAGGTGGCTCCAACTACCAGGAAAGTCTTTCTTCATTGGAACTTACCTGCTTCAACATTTGCTTCCTGTCCCTCAGGACACCCCCTGCCCCCTGAACAGATTTAGGCCGTGTCCTCTTGCCCCACAGGGCTGATTGGGGGAGGGAGGACAGGATATTCTTCGAAGGGCAGAGGGCCATCAGAGAAGCCTTGAGGGACATCTCTCCCTTCATTTACCTCAGACACAACAGGCTGGGGTGTGAGCCCCCGTGGGGCTGGCTACCTATTTGGCAGTGACGTGGTGGCTCAGTTCAATGCAGCCAACGACATTGACATGATCTGCCGTGCCCACCAGCTGGTGATGGAAGGTTACAAGTGGCACTTCAATGAGACTGTGCTCACTGTGTGGTCGGCACCCAACTACTGCTACCGGTGAGCTGCGTGGGTCAGGAGGTCACAGTGGGGGTGGGGACCTCAGCCGACACACACTAACTGCTGCTCTCTGACCATAGCTGTGGGAACGTGGCAGCCATCCTGGAGCTGGATGAGCATCTCCAGAAAGATTTCATCATCTTTGAGGCCGCTCCCCAAGAGACACGGGGCATCCCCTCCAAGAAGCCTGTGGCCGACTACTTCCTGTGACCCTTTGGTCCCTGCCCTCCCCCTCCAGCCCCTCTGGCCCTTGGACCACTGTGACGCTACCCTCTTCTTCAGATGGAGGCTGGGCATGGAGGGCTGCCCCCAGCTCTGCTCTCCCCGCAGAGGGCACTTCGATGGTGAGGACTTTCTCTGGAGAGGCTCGGAGCCGCCGCTCCATGCTCCTCCTCTCCTTTCTCCCCACCTGAACCATGAAGTTTCCAATAATTTTTGTTTTTTCTTTTTTTTTGTTTGTTTGTTTGTTTTTAGATAAAAATTTTGAGAAAAAGAAAAAATTCTAATAGAAGAAATATGGTCTTTGGGTTTGTGTCAGACTTGATTGGGGGTGGTAGAGATGCCAGCCTGGGACCAGGATGCACACCTGGACCTTGACTGCCCTAGAGCCTTGGTTTCCACAGGAAGGTGAGGCTCAGGCCACTTTACTTGCGTGGAGCCTCCTGGTCCCCATCCACTGACAGTTCTAGGTAGAGGGCCGTGTTCTGCGAGACAGTCCTATTCTGAAAACAATGAGTGTCTCAGGACATTGATTCTGCCATTTTCTTGAAGAGGAGCCAGGCCCAGAGCAGGTGGACTTGCTCATGTGCACAAGATCAAGCATCTGGAAAAATGGCAAGTCTAGATTGGGGTGGGGGTCTCCCCACAAAAACCTTTGCTTACCCAGTCCCTCCCAGGGCCAAACACCATTAGCCCAATGTTTCCAGAGCACTGATGTCTTTTCAGTTTTATTAGCAAAAATACTCTGTTCCTGAGAACAGATTGGTGTGGCTCACACCGGGGCCAGGAGATATGGCTAGCTGAGCCCCAGGGTGAAGCCGGGGCGTGGGTAGTGCTGGCCCAGGGCCCCATTTGGCCAGGCAGAGCCTCCCTCTATTCACACAGAGGTGAAAGTCGGGAAGGGGAAGCTGGCCCCAGCTGGACTCCCAGCAGCTTAGCCAGAGCTTTGAAGCCAGAGGGGGTGGGAATGAAGTCAAAGTGTGAAGTGGGGTGGAAGAGGCCCAAGGCAGCCATTTGGTGTGGGGGGTGGGGCCAGTGGAAGTGAGGGAGCTATAGGTCTGGGGGAAGGGAACTGAAAGTTTGTGGTGGACAACTGAGGGAGGGAGGCAGAGGGGCTAGCAATGGCTCAGTACATAGGTTTGGAGCCCATATTGAGGTAGGCCCCGGGCTCAGGGTAGGGTAAGGGCAAGGGACCCCCTTGGAGGAAATGGGAGGCAAAGGATGCTGGGTGTGCAGCTGCTAGGTATCCTGAGCCTCCTGGCCCAGGCTGCAGCTCTAGGGATGCAGCTGAGTAGGGCGCAGGGCACCCAGAGTCTGGAGCCTGAGGATAGCTGGGGTTCCTGAAGTGGAGAAAGGTATCAGGACAGGTGAGGGACCCATCCACCCACCCACCCCCAAGCTAGAACAACCCAGTCCTGTGCCTTTGTCCCACTCACCTGGTTGGGAGGTGACTGGGAGCCCCATGGAAAGCTGCAGGGTGCAGAAGGTAGGCCTCAGCACTGGAGCTACCACATGGAGGAGCTGGGGCAGGGGCAGCTTCCCTGAGAGCTGGGGCCTGCTCTGGATCTGACTCACGAATATCTCCACCCAGTGTGGAATCGCAGGGGCCACCTGGTGCATCTAGGGGGGTGGAAGAAACAGGTTCGGCTAAGGAGGATCAGCATCTGAGGCTTGGCCCCATCGCTATTGGGACTACTCACCTCCACTCCCACAGGCCTCTGTAGCTACTGGCTCTGGGCCTCGAAGTTTCCTCTTAACACGAGCGTCTCGCTCCCTGGGAAGTACAATGATAATAGCACCAGGTGCCAGGCATTCACCCTCTCAGGGACCCTATTAAGTTTTTTTATTATACCCATTTTACAGAGGAAGGAACTGAAGGCCACAGAATTCAATGACTAGAAAGTAGCAGAGGTGGGACTTATTCCACACTTAGAACTTCCTGATGGTTTCCTATTGTATTTAGAATCAGTGGAAACCTTCCAAAGCAGCTAGGCTCATCCCACCTTTCTCTCTCTGGCCATCTCAACTGCCTTTCAGGCCCCTTTTCTGGCCCCTCTTCACCTGCTTAACTCATCCTTGTCTCAGTTCATGTATAACTTCCCCCCAAGAAGTCCTCTGACCTCCCACATACCATACCCTCCCTGATAACATTTGTCAAGTTACACTGTTAAATTTGTTAGGGTAATCTTTTGATTAATGTCTGTCTCTTCTGCTTTGAGGGCGAGGGCCAGCTCGGGCTGTACTCAGAATAAAAGCCAAGGTCCTAACTAAACCTCACTTCTGTCACTTCACTTCACTCCAGCCACAGCACAGGTATGTTCCCACTGCAGGGCCCTTGCACATGTTGGTTCCACTCCCTGGCATGCTGTTCCTAAATGTCCACACGGCTCCCTTCCATACTTCCCTCAGGTGTTTTCTCAAATGTCTCTTCTCAGTGAGGCCTTTCCAGGCGTCTTAGCTAATATCTTATTCCAGTTCTTCCTGTCTTCCTTGTTTTATTTCTTTTATCTTTAGAACTTATCCCTAATATATGCCCATTGGAGTATTCCATAAGGACAGGGCTTTGGTTTGTCCTATTTACTGAAGGAGCTATTGTGCCTAGAACTGTGCCTGGCACATAGTAGGTGCTAAATAAGTATTTGTTGAATCAATGAATGAATAAAGTGTCTGGCACATAGTGGACAATTAATAAACATTTGTCGAATGAATGAGTGAATGAATGAATGGTGCCCACCTCTTACAGTTTCTGCCATTCTCCCGGAAACCCTTGGCAAAGGGGTTGGCTGCAATCTTCAGCTGTGTGATCTGGGGGCATACATTCAGAGTCAAAGCTCCTGCAGCCTGGGCAGAGTGCCACCACCCACCACCCCTGCTGACGTCGGGGTCCTTATTTTCCGGGCTGTACCTGCTCTGCCAGTGACTACAGTGTGACCTTGATTTTGAGTAAGTCTCTTTAAGGGCATGCTATATATATATATATATATATATAGGCCACCACCAACACAAGACAAGAAACACTCCCCCTCAGGCAGGGTCACTCACCCGTGGGTTCTGGTAAGCTGTCACAGAGATGAACATGGTCTCAGGGAAGCGGAAGGAGGCAACACCCCCCCAGTGTTGGCTGCAAAGCTGGGCGGCCCGCACTAGGTGTATGCGGGGCTGATACTTGTGCATGGAGTGCAAAATCAGCTGGGAGGGAAGAAACAGGAGTGACCCCTTGCCCTGGGCCCCACGCCCACCCCCCACCCTGGGGTTCCAGCATGGGCCTCACGTGGCCATGAGGGTCCAGTGTGCTGTTGGTGAGCTTGACACGATGAAATGACACAGGCTGCCGCATCCAGTGAGCACCCGTGGCAGGAGAGTCAGGGTGAATGTAGACACGGTCAGGCAGGCGGGGCTCTGCCTTGCCACTGGGCTCCCAGCGCCGACCCTGCCAGCGGTAGCGAGCTCCATCCACTGGTACCACATCCAGAAGGAACAGGTAGCGGGCCTCAGGGTCCAGGCCAGTGACTGATACTCGGCAAGCAGGGAACATACGTCTGGATAGGGGAGAAGATAGGAGAGGGCTGGAGCAACCCACCAGCCAGAGGCAGGTACAACACCAGCAAGGGAACAGGGCCACCAGCTCCGAGTTTTGTCAGAGAACATTCAAGCTGGAGTTAGACCTGAGGGCAGGGTCTGGAAGCTTATTTCATCCCACTTTTATAGACAGGAAACACAAAAGACAGGTTAGATGATCTGACCGGGGTCAGAGCTCGGACTCCTGACTCCTCAAAATCCATTCACAGAAGCAGGGGTGACACTCTTTTTCCCTGGAAATCTTGCTAGGAGCCTCCTCGCCTGATAACCAGCACCAGAATCTATAGCTGCTGGACAAACTTGCTTGGGGGCGGGGGTGGGGTGGGGTGGGGGAAGCCCTGCTTTCATTGGGTAGAAGATACCATGCTAGGCCTGAGCTCCTGGCCTAGATAAAGACCCCTCCACTCCAACCAAGGCCACACACTGAGCATATTCTTGCCACCAGGGTGACCCTGGACCTAGTCACATACAGACAAACCCTGATCCTAGCCAGATTTCCCTGATGCTGGTTAATGGCTGGCCCTTGACCTTAGTCATAGTCTGAACCCCAACTCTAGCCACAGACTGACCATCTAAGTTATAACCCAGCCAGACTTTCTGACCATGGCCCAGACTGACCTATGACCCTTGCTATAGGTTGGTCTCTAAACCAGCCACAGACTAAACAGACTCCCCATAACATGACGTCTGATCCAGTCACTCAGTAACCCAGGCCACAGTCACATTCTGAACTTAGGCAGAGCTCTAGCCCCCCTAGAAATCCTTAAACCTAGCCCCATCACCAGAAATTGCATTTCCCTAGAGGCCCCCACCAGAAATGTGCTGGGTCGTTTGACCTCACCTCCCAGCTTTGGTGATGATCATCTCTGTTCCCACGGAATTAAACTCTTTCCACAGCTCCTGGTTCTCCAGGCTCAGGCTGACTCCAGGGAGTGAATGAAGGGCCTCTGTGGCTGGGGGAGATGGCTCAGTGCCCAGGGCTGGGGGCAGTGGGGGCAACGGTGGAGGAGCAGCCAGGGTGCGGGAAGCAGCCTCAATACCCGAGAGGAAGCAATCCAGTTTGGGAGTGTCCAAATCTGAAGATGGGGAGAGAATGAGGAGCCAGCCCAGGGTCACAGCACCTCCCCCAAATCCCTACAAAGGAGCTAACCCCAAAGCTCACCAGGATAGCGGTAGCCCTCAGCCAGGGCAGGCGGGAAGCTGGAATCGGCCACTGGCTGGGGGGGCCCAAGACGGTAGCTGGTCCCCAGTGAGGGGTACAACTCTCTTGGATGATACATGGAGTCTGGCCTCAGGACACACTGCCTAGAGTTCCCTGGTGCTGAGAGATACTCTGCTTTATAGCTTGCAGCTCAGCCCCCTCCAGACCCAGCATCACAGCCCCTCCCTCTTTGAGGCCCTGGAATTGGGCTGGGGTGGAGACCCCTGGGGCCTGGAAGGGGTCCCAGAGGGGGCCGGATACCTGGGTACGCTCCTTTTCACCCCTCCCCCCAAGGCTACATTAGCCTCGACCCCCTGCCCCCTCATTACATAATTAACTCCTCGGCCTGATTGATCCCTGGGGCTTGGACAGGGACGCAGTTTGGCGCTTCCGGCCAGCTGGTCCCCGTTCCCACGGGGGGAGCCCCAGCTAGGAACAAGCTACTGAAGGGGCGGGAGTTCCCTGGAACTCCCTGGAGTTCCTGGAGCCTGGAAGCTACTGGATCCTGAGTTGGAGCCTGGAGTTCCTGGGGCAGACCGTGGCGCCTTAGACTTTTCTGGCAGGTGACCCACCTCCTTCTCCCCACCTCTCATTCACTTGGAGGACGGGGGAGTGGAGGGACAAGCATGACTAGAAGGCAAGAGCAGGGCTGGAGGCACGCAGCCTGAGCATATTAGTACACAGGACACTGGAGTCCGCAGCCAAAAGCGGAACGCTGACGTCCTTCTTGGTTCTCATTCTTCACCCTCATCCAAGTCTCAAAAGTTTAGATGTGCCCACAGCTCTACAGTCTGACTGGCTGGCGCCTGAGCTTCACAGAAGGTCCTGTGCTGGGGAACCCTGGGAACTACACTTCCCAGAAGGCCCAGTGCCCATTCGGGTGCGGAGAAGATCGAGAAATGCTGCTGGGGCCACTGGAAGTTGTAGTCGGAGAGTTGCCCCTGGGTGGTAGCAAAACGCTCAAGCTAAGACGCAGATCAGCTGAGGTCAAGGTCTATTGAGCCAGAGTAGGCGTGTGAATCACGACCTCTCCTGTGTCCTACAGATGACTGCAGCCAGGCCCCTGGAGCGCAGCCAGCCACCTTTGCCCGAGGTGCCTACCGGCTGCCTCACTGGGGCTCAGAACGGAACGGGTCTATAGAGGCAGGAATCTGCACTTGAGATCCCCCTTTTCGATTCCACAGGAGCCTGGGGCTGTCTCCACTCCATTGTTTTATTATATACAAATGCTACAGAACAAGGGGAGCAGACACGCGTGCGGTAAGAGGGGCCCAGTGGGAGGAGTTCACAGGGCAGATGGTGCACTGGGCTCTGAAAACAGTACACAGGCCGTATCTATAGGATAGGCAGGGCAGGAAGAGGTTAAAAAATGAGATCCAAGCCAGCCAGATCGCAGGGAGGTAGGGGGCGGGGGTGGTCTTCCACCTTCTGATCTCCCCCCAAGGTCACAGTGCATGCAGTAAAATATAAGTACAGGAGCTGGATCCGTCCTCCGCAGGGGCTCTGAGGGTCCAAAGCTCCCTTCTGGCAGCAAAGGGAAGCCAGTGGCGCCCCCTGGCGGCCAAGCCGGGCTGGAGCCACATGCGGAAAGAGTAGGGGTCAGTCCCAGCCATTGTCTTTGATCATGTGGTTGAGTTCAATGATGTACTTCCCCTCTTTGTACTTCTGGCTGCTCTCGAAGGCCTGTTCCTGAAAGGAGGGGAGAGGCTGTCATCCCTAGAGGAAGGGCCTTACCCACAGGGATAGGGGTTGGGGCATAGATAATGACTAGCCCTATTCATATATGAGAAAACTGTCACCCAGAGAAGCCAAACCACCTGCCCACAGACATAGAGCTGGTAAGTGCCAGGGCAGAGTTTCTCACTAACAGGACAGATAGAACTCTTTGAATCATGGGTACTTTTTAAGTACTAATGTTGGCTCCAACAATGATGACATAGAAATTTCTACAAAATCCAAGGATTACAAACTGGTAGCCTGAGGGCCAATATTGGCCTACATGTGTGTTTTGCTTGCCCAGCAGAGAGTTTAATAAAAATAACTTTGAGCCCTGGCTGATGTGGCTCAGTGGATTGAGTGCAGGCCTGTGAAGTGAAAGGTCACTGGTTCAATTCCCAGTCAGGACACATGCCTGGGTTATGGGCCAAGTCCCCAGTTGGGGGCATGTGGGAGACAACTGGTGGATATTTCTCTTGCACATCAATGTTTCTCTTCCTCTCTTTCTCCCTTCCTTCTTTCCCTCTATCTAGAAGTAAATAAGATCTTTTAAAAAACCCCCCAAAACTTTGAAATACTAGCCTATAGGCAGGCCATGCTCACTCCAGCATGGCACAGACTGCCCCTCCCCTCCCCAATCTATGTTACCCCTTTTACAGATCCACAGTGCAAAAAAGTGCTGGCCCTGCAAGCATTTAGGTTTCTGACTTCTAAACTGGCCACCTCTTTATTTTACAGAGGTACAGAGAAGCCAAGTCACCTGTGCAGGGACACAAGGCAAATCTGTGGCAAAACCAGGGGTGAACTCAGGTCAGGGCCGTCTGCCTGTCTCTGCCTGGGACATCCACATCACCAAGGCACCATAGCTCCAAGCAACTGCAGTTTCCCAAGAGCATCTTCTTTTGTTGCATCTAATCTGATCCCCATAACAATCTTGGGTGCCAGGTAGTGGCTTTATCCTCCACTGCCAGATAAGGAAATGAGACTCAGAGTAGTGAAATCAGATCCTGGACAGCAGTAGTGGCAATGAGGGCAGTGGAAAAGGAGGCCCAAGTTCTGTGTTGCTGTGGGGTCTTGGGCATGTTTCTGATCCTCTGAATGGTAACAGAAGTCAGGGTCAAGGATTTAGAGTTAAAAACAAAACTAGGTAGAATTCTGGTCCCTATTCTGTTTCTTGCTGGATGTGTGACCTTGGGCAAGTTACCTAACATCTCTGGGCCTTTCTTCTGTAAAGTGAAGATAATAACAGACTCTACCTACAGGATTGTTGTAAAGACTGAATGAGATAATGGTATATGCTGAGCACATAGTAGTGTATAGCAATAAGCCTTCATTAAATGGTAACTCTGATTGTATCATCATCTCTAAAATGGGGGTGCTTGTGCCTGTAAGGAGAGGGATGGGTTCAGAGAGAAATTCTAAAAGCCTTTGCAGGATGTGAGAGAAGAAAATATGGTCAGGGGATGAAAGACTGTTTGACTTGTGTGAGCTGGGCCTATACACTCTTGAAGATGATCAGATGATCTGCTTGTGATGTGAGGTCATGTCAAAGGCTAGCCTCAGGTCAGAGGTCACTGACTCACATATTTCCAGCCCAAAGTGGTCTTGCAGTTCTCGCAGTGGATGTCAGCAACAGCATGAAGGCCTGTCAGCAGCACCCGCTCCTCGGCTGGCCCGCAGCCCACGTTCACCCTGTGGGGATATGGGGGCAGTCCCAGGGAGGGTCCCATCACAAAGCCCACCTCTCTAGCTTGTCTCCAACAGTGTCTGTCCTTAGCTTCTTGCTTGAACCAGGGGATTTTGGGAATCTCAGCATGATGCCATGGGTCACAGGTCACAGCAGAGGTCAGGGAAAGAAAAGAAGGGAGGCCGCATACTCACACAGAATTGAAGAGGTAGGCACGCCCCTGACTGCCTTGGAAGGACTAAAGGATGGAAGGGAGAGAGGAGGGGGTCAGGGTTATTGGTGGAGAACTACCAAGCACACCCTCTAGCCTCCCATTCCAGCCTCAGCTGTGACCTGGTTACCTTGGAGATGAGGTCGTCGTGGTTGGCCAGGTGAGCACGGCAGTGGGCACAGCTATACCTCCGGTGACAATCATCCAAGTAAGCCTGAAATGTCTTGGGCTTTGAAATCCGCACCATGGCGGGGGCTGCAGGCAATGGCCCCACTCGGGGAGCAGCCCACGGGGAGCAAAGAGAGCCCAGTGCCTGTCAAGGAGGGAGCAAGTGAACTGTCAGGACCCCAGCCACACACATGAAGCCCCGCCCAGGGCCATGGGGACTCTCTCTGTCACACTTGGCTGCTGTCTCCTCTCCCCAGAGCCAGCAGCCTCTCCAGGGGCCAGAGCTGGCTCAGTTTTGACTCACTGAAGAGGCCTCAAGTTGCATCAGTGGGGAAACTGAGGCTAGGAGGAGCCCATGATGAGTCACCCACCTGCTTTCAGCCTCGCCCCTGGTGACCTGGCAATTGAAACTGGAGGAAGGGGCTTTAGAGTGGATGAGCTGTCAGTTCTCTGTTTAAGGAAGCTTGGAAGGGTTGGGAATTGGGTGGTTTTTAGGACCTCATCTGAACTGTGGAGTGCAGAGCTAGGGGGCGACTTCACTTAAGGTACAGGGAGTTCACCAGGAGAGATGGTCCCTCACCTGGAGAAGGCTGGAGGCCTCACTGAAGTTGGAGGGTCACCGAAGAGGGAAAGGTCTCTTGCCTAGGGACGCCGAGGCCTTCTATGCCGAGGGACTCGTAACTGCATGCGCGGAAACTTACCTGAGACCGCGGGTCTCACCTGGGGCGCGGGTGTGGGGAGCGGGCGCCGGGGAGGGGGCAGTCCTCACTGGCGGGCGGGGGCGCGGGGCGACGCACAGCCCTGACGATGCGGGCCTCACCTTGCCTGGGCGCGCGGGAGCCGGTCCTCCGGGGTGGCTGGCCTGGGAGTAGGGGGCGCTCCTGGTGGGCGCCGTCCCCCCCCAGGCCCTGGTTCCCAGTCGCCGCGACTTGTTTACACCGAGACCAGCTGCTGCCGTCGCTGCGGCGGGAGGGGGAGGGGGTCGGCCCCTGGTCCCGGCGGTCGCCGTGGCCAATCAGCGCACAGCATGCAAATGAGGGGGCGCGTCACACCACGGCCGGCGCAGGCCTGGGCTGCCCTTCCCCCTGCTCCCCGCTCCGGCCGGCCCGGAAATGCGGCGGCTGTGGCCAGCAGTCCGGCGGGTCAGCCCGCAGGGCCGGAGTCCGGTTACCCCTCTGGCCTCCGGCGGTTCTGGAAGGGGCACGTATCTGAGGTACCTGACCGGAGTGGGGTTAGGAGGGGGACGTGTCCGGATGCACTCCCCCGGGGGACACAGTAATAAAAATTATCTGCGTTACCTACCGTTCGTGCCTCAGTCTCCGCAGCAAATCCTGAGGCAGCTTCCGCTTTATTGTTCTCATTTTACAAGGAAACTGAGGTCCAAGGAAGTGTAGCAGCTTGCTCGAGATTATCCAGATGATAAGAGGCGAAGTTGGGATTCTCACCACCGCTTTGGCCATGATACCAGGGACAGACTCTTGGAATGGATGAGCTAAAGCTGGCCACCGGTGTTAGACCCTGGGCGCCAGAGCCTGGGGACAAGCCAGTTCCTACCGTTGAGCCTCACCTTCTCCCACTGCTAGGCTCCTCTGATGCCCCTGTCCCTCCAGGCCGAGTTGGTGTCTGCTGTGGGCTCCCCCTTTCCCTTTCTCATCTCTGAGTGTGCTTAAACATGTCTGTCACACTAAACTTGTTTTGTTTCTTGCAGTGCCCCGGGGATCCAGCCTGGCCTAGTTCAGTCAATACAAGTTTGTGAAATTCGTGCTTTATTAAGTGACATACTAGGGCCGCAGAGGGCTGAGGAATTTGGGGAGCTTCTGGAGTAGGAAACAGGAGTGGCAGGTTGGAAGGCTGAGGCAGCAGATGGGTGTTGCTGGGAATTCAGCTGTCCCAGCCATGCCCACCCTCTGCAGCCAAGTGAGGAGGTCCACAAGGGCAAGTTAAGCCCCTTGCTGTGTGCTCTGCACTCTAATGGCCTCAAAATGGAATGATTATCTGTGGCTCTGAAGGGACATTCCTGATGAGAGTGGAAGCCAGGCTGGCATGGGGTGCAGTATCACTCTGGGTCTGGAATGCAGTGGAACCAGTGAGTCAGGCTGGTTAGGGCCCCAGACTCTGGCCTTAGACTGTCCTAGGTTGCCATGATTGCAGTTCAATAGGATCTCCCATCCCCACCCTCCAAAAAGGCAGGACTGAAAAGAAAACATTTATTGGGGAAGAGAAACAGAAGGGAGGGCGAGGGTCTCACTGGGCCCCACGGTTGTCCAGGTAGCGCCTCAGGGCTGTGGGATAATCGGTCATGACGCCAGTGGCTCCCAGATTGTAGGCCACTTCAAAATCAGACTCTTCATTAAGGCACCAAAATATCACCTGAGTGGGGAGGGAGGGGCTTTTAGTTTCCAGCTTCACCTGGAACTCCCCCTGGCATCCAGATGGTCAGCTCTCTCCTCTGTGGATACCACTCAGCAGTGGTATGCAGAGGAGCTGATTGTTAAATTTTCAGAAATTTTGCAGATTGTTTTGAATACAGCCATTGTTAAACATTAAATTATATAAACTTGCAGCCCTGGCTGGTGTAGCTCAGTGGATTGAGCGTGGGCTGCGAACCAAAGCATTGCCGGTTCAATTCCCAGCCAGGGCACATGCCTGGGTTGCAGGCCATGGCCCCCAGCAGCCAACCACATATTGATGTTTCTCTCTCTCTCTCTCCCTCCCTTCCTTCTCTAAAAATAAATAAATAAATATTTTTAAAAAAGTATATAAACTTGCAATTCAATAAACTATATTAAAAGCAAAGGTAAAAACTGAAAACTCATCACAGCCTAAAATTTCACTACATTTACTATTCCCTGTGCTCTGGAGGTTAGGCCTCTTGAGTGTGTACGGTGAAAATGCTCTATGACCGTGTGCTACCTCACATCTCTTTCCCGCTCTGTTCAGTGACTTCATGTTGGTGGCCTGAAATCGGCTGAGGCAGAAGTGTATGCTCCAGGGAAATGATCTAGTGTTCAAATCAGGGTGCTTTTTCCCTCCTGGAGAATGGTCCCAGTCATGGACTGTGTGCCAGAGGTCACTGGACCTCTCAGTTTTTTCACGTGACAACTGAGTTATGGTCCAGCCTCCTGGAGTTGTGGGGAAGCCCAGAGGACTGAGAGGGCTGATCTGGAAGAGCCCCATCATCCTCACTTACCCCCACATCTAATCAGCGGCTTGTCTGTGAATTAACTCTTCTATCCACCGCCACTGTTACCACCTCAGTCTCATTATGAGACTGCTTCCACAATGGCCCCTACAATCACTTCTCCACATGGTGGCCAGGGTGATTCTCACTCAACAGATCTCAACTGGGTCAGGTCTTTTTCCTCAAAAGCTTCTTTTCCCTTTGGGCTGAAATGCAGGCTCCTTGCCGAGGTCCTTGGGTGCCTGCTTCAGCCTCTGCCACCTCCTCTAGCTCGCCTTGTGCTGCTTCCTCCAGACTGCAGCCTGGTGGAAACCCTCCCCATTTCTCAGACTGCCAAGGCCTCTTGCTCCTCTGGGCCTTCCCACATGCTGAGCCTTCTGCCTGAGATGCTCTCCCTTGTCCCTCCTCCTGGGCCAGCCTCTTATTTCTTCCAGAAGGCCGCTTCTGACCCCACAGACCACTGCCCTATTTCCTTTCTGTCCACTAGCCCCTGTGATGGCCTGCTTCATTCCCTTCCTCTGCCCCTGTGGTAACTCCCTCATCCGTCCTCAGTACCATAGTGCCTAGAATATATTCTCAACAAAGTTTTACTAATTAAATGACCTGGTCAAAGCTGATGCTCAGGGGAGCAGAAGGAGGCGGGCTGGGCTGGTTTCTCCCTCCGCTCTTTGCCCAGTCCCCCTCAACAGGGATCAGGACAGGTCAGTGTGTCATCAGAATGGCGAGCTCTTATCAAGCCCTTACTTAGTACCAGTTACATATCCAGAAGAGTTAAATATATTATTATGCTCGTTTACAGATGAAGAAACCAAGACTCGAGGTGCCCAGCTACACAGTAGCAGAGCTGTGACTGGAATGCTGTGCTGGGCGCACACTCTGAACTGAGGTGGTGGTCAAGCCTCACCTGCACTCCTCGTTGCTCCAAGTGTTGGATCAGACTTTTCCTCATGATGAGCCTGGTGGGGAGGAAGACAGCAAAGGCCAGTATGAGGGACTAAGGAGAAGGGCAGAGGCAGGTCTCTGTGAGGACACTCCACCCAGCCTTCTCGCCCACCTCACCATTTAGAAACCACAGCTGCCAGCTGGTTCAGCACAGGGCTGGAGAAAGGGAAGTAGGTCCTGCGGAGAGGTGATATCGTGGTCATTCCATGGGTCTCTGTCACAGGGGTGGGTAGTGATCCCTGACTAGTGAAACCTACTCCCTCTAGAAAAATCTTTCCAGTTGCCCAGATGAACAATTCACCCATTGTTCACCGAGATCCTACTCCTATATCCTTGACTCCATGCTTTGAGGGTGTGCCCATGCCTCACCGTTTTACGGAAGAGGAAACTGAATCTTGGAGTGCTATTTTAACTTGCCCGAGGTCACATAGCAAGTCTGTGATGGGGCCAGGACTGAAACCCAGCTTGATTCCCAAGCTGGACATGCAATCTGGACATCCTCCTGGTTGGGTCTGACCAGCTTCCTGAGACCAGACAGTGTTTAATGGGTCGGCTACTTGCCCCTAATTGTTCCACTTTAGGAGTGACTTTAGAGGCTCTTCACAATGTTCCAGGGAAGGCTTTGGAGTCAGAGCCAGGGCAGACCAGGCTCTGAGTACAGAGCTGTATGACCTCAAGCGAGGTCATCTAGCTGTATGACCTCAAGCGAGTTACAGAATATCTCAGAGACTCAGACTCTCTATGGGCACCGTGGGGCCAGGATTCCTGTACCTTCTGGGGGTGCTGTGAAGTAAAGCTCAACTACGCTAAAGGAAGTGGAAACAGTTTGCAAATCTCGTATAAAAAGTTATGTATACAGCGTTCTGTAGTATAATGATGTCTTTGTAGCAAAGGGTTGTGGGGCCTGTCTGGGAGCTTCCCTCATGACCACATAAGGGAGCAGAAAGCACTGAGGCCACCACAGAGTTCTCTGAAAGCAAAGGGAGGGGCGTGGCCTGAGAGCTGGTGAAGTATCCAAATTCCTGACTCTTTACCCAGATGTTACTTTGTTAATCCTTATCTCCCAACAGGAAAACACTTGCTTTTCCTTTTGAGAATCAGAGAGTGATACTGTAATTCATTAGCACCTGTACACACCTGGCCAGGCTATAAGCTGAAGGCCTTACCCCACCCACGCTAGTCTTCACTAGTGTAACTGCACCTGGAAGTGTAGGCATTCAATACATGTTTGTTGGATGAATGGATGAATAGATGAACCCTTTGTCCTAAAACTCCATCCACATCAACACACATTTGCGCTGAATTCCAGGGAGTTTATGGTCCCCTTAGTATTCATGAATGCTAGATGAGAACCACTGTCTTCCAAGCACCCTGGGGTTATCCGGAGGGGAGCCTGAGAGCTGAGGACCCTACAAAATGGAGTTTGAGGTAGAGAGGTGTTTTTTTGAGGACAGAAGCAGCGGGAAGCCTGGGGAGGATGAAGGGAGATGGGGACCCTGTGGGTACCTGTTGATGATGGTGGGCAGGAAGCAGATGAAGAACTTCTCAGGGATAGGGATGAAGGGCAGTAGCCCCAGGTAATACAGCAGTAACAACCAGAATCCTCGTCTTATTGTGAAGGAGAATGGCATCTCGGGGTTCTGGGAGGGAGGGGAGGGGAGAGGGCATCAGTCTCCTCCCGGGGAAGCAGAGAGGCTTGGGCTGCAGGGGAACAGCTTTTGGATGTTCAGGAAGCCCCACTTCCCTGCGGGGTCAAAGCCACATCTTGGCTCAGACCTAGATGCACCCTCCCCGTGCCCTCCAGCATGACTTTACTCACACGATTTCTCTACCACCTCACCTCTCCAAACCCTGCAGAACCCCTCAAACCCTTCTAGCCTGGGAGGATGGGCCATCGGCGCAGGGAGGGAAAAGGGACTCACGGCAGCCTTGCACTTCTTCATGACTGAGCTCTTCTCTGAGGCCCAGATGGTGATTTCATTGCGGTCAAAGTGCCTCACCAGGCTGGCTATCTGGAAGGAGGAGAAGAGATGAAGGGGAGTTAGGCCTCCTTTGAGGCCCGGGGCCCCCCAAGCCCACCCTGCCTGCAGCACCACCTTGTGAATGAGCTTCTCGTTTTCCCCTTTGACCTCCACACTCATGGGCGTCCGAGGGAACCTCCGGAACACGTCCTCCAGACTCACCATGCGCCTGTCTGACCCATGTGCAAAGTGGCCTGGGAGGTTGTGGGAAGAGAGACCAGAGAAGGATGGGTTGGGTGGGGGTAAGAACCCAGGGGAACAGGGGCAAGTCCTAGGGGAAGAGAGAGGGCAGAGGTTGAGGCCCTGACGCGCTCTTACCTGGTGAGAAGTACACCTCCAGCTCCTCCTTGTAGAGGGGCAGCTCCTGGAGAGAGCAAGGAGCATGTGAGCAGGAGGCTCATGGGGAGGCTCTCTGGCTTTGTAGAGGGGGCTGGGGCAAGGCCCACCTCAAAGGCCAGGCTGTGCACATCCTTGTTCACTCCTGACTGGAGGTACAGGTTGTCGTCGTGCGACACCACCACCACGCCGTCCCGAGTCAGCTGGCAGTCGAGCTCCAGGAGGTCTGCCCGCTGGGCCATGGAGCTGCGGGAACAAAGCCAGCAGGGTGGGGGCCCCGGGACAGGTGGGCCGCAGTGAGAGGGTCAGGGCAGGGGGATGTGCAGGCTGTGCGATGCCTCCGGGGGGGGGGCTCCAGCCACCCCTTGGCATTGGGCAGCTTGGCTGGGCAGGGGCACGTACTTTTCCATGGCCTCCATGGTGTTCTCCAGCTTCTCTCCAGATCCTGTGAGGGGCAGCAGCGGTGGGTCCCTGGGGCCTGGCCTCCCTCCTTCTCCCCTTACTCTTTGCCTCATCACCCACAGTCGGCCCAGGCCCAGGTTGAACAGCCTCTTCTTCCTAATTCCACACCACACACAGCCACCCTGCTCTCCTCCTACCTCGGTCTTCGCCTTCTTTCTAACATTGGGCACCTCAGACCTACTCCTCTCTGCTGTCCACTGTGGCACATGGCTTGCTATTCTTATTCCACCCTCAGTAGCTGACACTCCCCCTCCCCCCACCTAGCTCACCTCCGCGGTGGGCCGCCAGGCGGGGGCAGAAGGTAGGAGCCCAAGGTGTGTGCAGCAGGCGAGGCCGTCGCAGGAAGAAGATGGAGACCATGACATAGCTGCCCAGGGCGGGCAGGGCATAGTACAACAGAGGGCTCATGGCCGCACCGACTGCGCTCTGACTGCCGCAAGCTCAGCCGTCCTCATGAACTGTGCTGCCTTCCTGATTGCCTGGCTGATGTACGCTGGTTCCACCACTGGTCACCACCACGCCCCTGGGACCTGCTGAGCCTGCTGCTGGCCCAGGGCCAGGCTGCAGAGCTCAGCTGGAGATGGAGTAGAGGCAGGAGGAGGAGCCAGGCAGCTCCGGCCCTCACACTCCCAGACCCTTCACAGACCCCAGGGCCTCTCTCTCCTTGGCTGGACTGGGGGAGTGAAGTCCCTCCGCGGCCAGGTCCCCTGTAACCTTCTCCCTCCCTTACCACTTGTGTGTGTGCCCAGGGGATGCAACACATTGCCCCTTGCTGTTTCCAGAAAATCCGGGGTGTGAAGGATGCCCGAGTCACCCCTGAATCACCCCTGCCAGTTAGGAAGACATTAGAGAGGGGAGAGGACAGTGACTAAGGAGATAAGTGATTCCACCTTGTCCAGGAATCTGGAGCTTCTTACACTCCCACCCACAACCCCGGCCAGCTGGGGAGCCAAAGGTCACCAGGGTAAAGCCACAGCTGGAAGCAGCTGGGCTGGAGTGTCAGTCTTCAAAACAGCAACGGCGAGGGACACAGCATCAGTAAACGTAGACAGAGCCAGGGCCGTCATGTACACATCTCTGTATTTATATATTAGACACAGGCACAGGGGTGGGCAGGGGCACCGGGCTCCCCACGTGCCCCCACCCCTTCTGTTCACCCCCACACAGAAGCAGCAGGTGCATTACATGTGGCAGCTTAGGGGAGGGAGTTTAGGCAGGGCCCTGCTCCTCAGGTATACTAGCCCTTGAGCCTTAGGAATGTTCCTTCAGGGAAAATGGGTGAGGTTTTAATGAGGCCAGTGTGGCAGGGATGCCCTGGGTCCCTACTCAGTGACCCCTATCCGCCACTGCCCCTCAGTAGGTCACAGGGCAGCCAGAGCCCTTTGATTCCAAAACTATCAGAGACTAGGAGAGCTGGGGTAGAGGAAGGCAGAGCAGTTTAGGGGGATTTGCTTTGGGGTCACCTGTGCCCTGCAGGTCCTGGGGCGGCGGGTAGGACAGAGGGAGCCTTGGCCTGCCTTAAAGCAGGAGGCTAGAGCAAAGGGAGGGAAGGTGACCAGGCCCACCCTCTGGCCCGAGCTGGGCTGCCGGGTCTGGGCTGGGCGGTATCCGTTCTCTAACAGTCCAGCAGGGGAGGGCAGGCAGGAGGCTGGGCCTAAACAAAAAGGCAGGCAGGAGAGGGACCATTAGCACGCATGAGAGCACCTGCCAGAGCCCTGGCCTCAACTTCTCTCATTTTATCCTCACAGTTGAGCGGGATGTGTCTTGGTGTCCTTATCTGTACGTGGGGATAACATTAGCCCCCATCTCATGGCGCTGCCACAGGATTAAACGAGTTCATGCAACATAAACCTCTTAGAACTATACTTAGTGCTGCGTGTTTGCTCTCATTATCAGGACTGGCCCCAGGAAACCGAGGTGCAGAGGTGAGGTGTCTTGCACAATACCATGCAGCTCTTACAGGTGTGTCTGCCTTCCTTCTATCAGTCTACAGCTGGCAGGAAGTCAGAAAGAAGCCTGGAGAAGGGAGGAAGAGCAGGGTCTTCCCTTGCTCTGTGGGTCTGGCCAGGCCTTGGAGAGTCCTCCAAAGGTGTGTGAACTGCTGACTTGGGGAGCAGGTGTGAGAAAGCTTGGCATCTGGGTCAGACTGAGTGCTGCTAGCTCCTCCCAAAGCAATTACTGCCCCACCTGCCTCTCTGCCCACAGAAAGAGGCAAAAGCTGGCTCCATTCCTCGGATGGGGGAGAGGGGCCCTCCGTGACCTCTGAGGACCCAGAATGGGTACTGGGGCTGGAGAATGCAGGGTGTTGACAGGTGGGAGACATTTGGGGCTGCAGGAAAGGTGGAGGGACATGAAGACTGGTAGACCACAGATCTGTGGCTTGAGCAGGCTCTGGTCCTTCTGTTGCCACCAAAGACAGGGATCATGAGCACGAGCAAGCTTCTGACTGTATGGTGCACTGGGTACCCTGGTCTCAGGGTGAATTTGTGTGTGGGCGGTGGGGAGCACTCACTAGGCCCCAGGGAGCAGAGGCATCTGTTCAGGTTAGGTGGCCTCCAGCACCCCAGGCTGGAAGCGGGCTGTCTCCTGGAATATGAGCTCCTTCAGCCGCTCCTTGGGTAGATCATCCAGCTCCATGTCAAAGGTGAAAGGTTCCTCAGCCACCGGCTGGAGTGGCAAAAAAGTGAGGCTTAGGCCAGATACTGAGGTATGCCTACCCCCACTTACCACCAGACCCTGTTACTGGTGGCTGGCCCACCTCATCTGTTGGGTCGTAGTACTGCTCCAGGTAGGGGTGAGCCAAGGCTTCTTCCACTGTGATCCGCTTATTGGGGTTAAAGGTCAACATCCGGTCCAGCAGGTCAAGGGCTAGGGAAGTGCAAGAGTCAGGGGTCAAAAGGAAGGCTAAGGAAGTTCCCAGAAGCACTGTTTTGCTCCTCTGTACTCAGGGGGCCTGTGTAGTCAGGTAGCTGCTGGGCTCAGGCCCCCAGCTGTTATCCCGCATCAGCCCCCGTGTCTCTCTCACCTTTGGAGTCTGATTTGGGAAAAAGCTTGGCCCAGGCCACCTTGGTCTTGGAAGGCAGGGACTGTAGGTAGTTTCGGGCCTTCATGTTGATGATACAATTCAGGTCCTCCTGGGACGGGGAGCCCAGGATACCTGTGGGTAGGGCAGAGGACTTGGTGAGAGAGCTTCTCTCCCTTCTGGGAACTGAAGGAACCAAGAACAAGAGCTCCCACCAACCCATTGTAGGCCCTGACAGTTATCTCCCAGCCAATACTATGGTGGTGAAGCAAGGGGTCTGGATTCAGGCAGCCCTAGGTTCAAATCTCAAAACCAGCACTTCCTAAATGTGGGGTGTAGCCTTGTTTTTCCCATGTACCAAATGGGATAGAATCTATATCTCGCTGAAATACTGTGAAATGCTATAGGGGCTCCAAGTGTGAATCCGACTCCTGCAGACTCACCGACCCTGATCCTAAAGAAATCTCACCTCCAATATGTTAATCTCCCTTCCACTCAGCTGGCCAGGCCCCCCTCACCCAGAATGTGGTTGAGCTGGTCCAGGTAGTGCTTGCCAGGGAAGATGGGCCGGTTGGAGAGCATCTCAGCCAGAATGCAGCCCACAGACCAGATGTCGATGGACTTGGTATAGCCCTGGGGAGGAGGAGAAAGTGGTGGGCTCCTGGGCCAGCCTCAACAGGTGCCTAGTGTCTGGGCCAAGCCACCACCCCAACCTGGACTCAGTACTTCAGGGAGGTACAGAGCAGAGGCCTGGCGGAGCTAATGCTTAGCTTCTTTCCAGATTCCAAGGACCAGAGCTACGTGACACCGCCCAGCGGGCAGACTTGCAGCATCATGGAGGTCACCGCCTGGCTCAGAGGTGGCTCCAGGGCTTTCTGGGACCTGACCCCTTCCCTTTGAGGGTGGGTGACCCCCCTACCTTGGAGTTAAGCATGATCTCTGGGGCCCGGTACCAGCGTGTGGCCACGTATTCTGTCAGGAAGCCAGTGTGGTCATGTTCAGGATCAGCGATCCGGGCCAGGCCAAAATCACAGATCTAGAATCCAACCCAGATTGCTAAGCTTGGTGCTCAAGGTCTCCACAGCCCAAACAATCATATCACCATGCCTCTGCCCATGCTGTTCCCCTTGCTTGTGATGCCCTCCTACTCCAGGGGACTATTAGTCAAATGGAAGCCCTAGACCCACGGGGAGGAAGCAACAGGCACCCAGTCCTCTGACCTTAAGGTCGCAGGTGGTATTGATGAGCAGGTTGGAGGGCTTTAAATCCCGGTGGAGCACGTTGGCTGAGTGGATATACTTGAGGCCCCGCAGGATCTGGTAGAGGAAGTAGCAGACGTGGTCGTTGCTCAGCTGCTGGCTTTTGAGCAACTTGTACAGGTCTGTCTCCATCAGGTCCTGCACAATGTAGCTGAGGATGGTATCGGAGACCCCGCAGGTGGGGGCAGCAGGAGGTACTTGGTTAAGAAGAACGGCTCTGATGACTAGGCTTCCCAGCTCCTCCAGCTGGCACCCCTAGGACTCAACAGATCTGCCAACCCATACTGTGAGCTGGGCAAGGCCCATACTCAGCAGTTGGGCTCAGGGCCTCTGCTGCATCTCAGCTGGTGACCCTGAGCAAAAGCATTTCAGTTCTGGGGCCTCGGTTTCCCTACTGGGTAAAATGGGGACAGTGAACTGCAGAAGGCAGGAAAACTTCATAGCTAAGAGCGGAAGCTCTGGCATTAACCTGCTGGTGCTGAAACCTCACCCCACTGCTCATTGGTTTTATGACCTCAACCTGTCTGTGCTTCTTATTTCCTCATCTGAAAAGCAGGGGGAAGAAAAGTTCTTTTGAGCGTAGTTGTGACAATGACATGAGATGACCCATGTAACGCAGCCAGCCCAGTGCTTGGCAGGTTTTAAGTGTTCAGCAAACATGAACTAGTATTGCTATTATAAATGCCTGAGCCACATGGCTGTTGAGAGGGTTAAATGAGATAATGTATGAATACCATCTGGCATGCAATAACAATTTTTTTTTTAGATTTTATTGATTTATCTCCAGAGAGAGGGGAAGGGAGGGAGAGAGGGGAAGGGAGTGAGAAAGAGAGGGAGAGAAACATCGATGTGTGAGAGAAACATCAATGTGTGGTTGCCTCTCACACGCCCTCAACTGGGGACCTGGCCCGCAACTTAGGCATGTGCCCTCACAGGGAATCAAACCAGCGACCTTCCGGTTCACAGACCGGCGCTCAATCTACTGAGCTACACCAGCCAGGGCAAATTTAAACAAAAATTATTTATTGATTTCTAGAGATAGGAAGTTGGGGTGGGGGAGACGGGGAGAGGGAGGGAGGGAGAGAGAGAGAGAGAGAGAGAAACACTGATTTGTTGTTCTACTCGTTTATGCATTCACTGGTTGATTCTTGTATGTGCCCTGACTGGGGCTCAAACCTGCAACCTTGGCATATGGGGATGACAATATAACCAACTTAAGCTACCTGACCAGGGACAATAAATGTTTGCTTAAAAATAAACACCTACCTTATGGGAACGGTTTGTGTAAGACAAATGAGGAGAAACTCCCAACAGCATGCTCCTACTCAAACAGTGCTTGGCCATACATCAGAAGACAGAGGAGTAAATGTCCTTTTATATTTTAAGATTAAACATACATACATACATACATACATGTCACTTGACTTGTCTCTGCACAAATAAGTTAGGACTGTCTTTCAGGATCAGCCTCAAAAGGGCCTTCTGAGAGCATATGGACCAACCTCATTGTTTTACAGATGAGGAGGCCCATGCAGTAAGATGTTTAAGGTCACATAGTGAGCTGGGGATGAGTGTGGAGGCTTCCTGCCCACCGTTTGTGGTGGGGGCTGCAGACACTGCAGTACAAATCCCCACGCTTGGGTGGAGAACTGGGACTGACTGGGGGTGGGTGGAGTGGGGTGAGGTGATGGGTATTACAAGTTGCTAACAACAAAAGCCAGGCAGGAAGTGGACAATGCACTAGGAAAGCTATATGGGGGAAGGGCCACAAAGACAGGGCTGTCCCTCCCTGGGCAAGGTGCAAGTCCACAGGTGACTGGGGTGGAGCTCTGAGCAGGAAGTCCTCGAGAAAGAATCTGGTCTCTTTTGGGGGAGGGGTGGAGGCAGCAACAGAAACAAAGTCTTGATTTCAGGCTTTTTGAGCCTCAATTTCCTCATCTGTGAAAGGGAGCTGAGACCAATCTCATAAGGCAGTTGGGAGGTAGAATTAGAAATGCCAAAGCTCTGGGTGTGCACTGCACCTGACTCATAGTAGGCCCTCGAAGAAGGGCAGCTTTCTCCCTGCCTGCTTGCCTTCCAGTCTGAGAACCCAGAGGGGAAAGAATCTGTTAAACAAGAACTGACTGCGGGCAGAGGCTGGATCATGTCACAGAACTGCACATGTTAGGAGACAAGGCTCCCACAGGGAACATCTTGCCCGGTCCCCCACCCCAGAGGCACAGCACAGAGAACAGACTTGCCCAAGGCCACGCTGCCTGTCTGCAGCAGGCCAGGATTCATCTGCCACCTCCCAGCCCTCTTACACTCTGTGGCCTCTTTTCTGCTAGAAGCTTTCTTTTAATGGGTTTGTTTTGGAGGGTGACAGGGAAGGAGGAAGCAGAAAGAGAGCCAGTGTTCCCCCAGCCCAGCTCTGAGGCCGTGCCTGGCCAGCCATCTGGCCAAGGTGAAGGATACACATCCCTCATGGCTTCCAGGGTAGGTGCCCGAAGAATGTCTCGGATGCCGATGACATTCTCGTGGCGGAAACGCAGCAAGATCTGGATTTCCCGCAGTGTGCGCTGGCAGTAGGTCTGATGCTCGAAGGGGCTGATTTTCTTGATGGCCACGCGAGTCTTGCATATGTGGTCATAGGCTGAGCTGAAAGGGCCAGAGAGGTGTCGTTGGTGCGGTCTTACAAAGGGGGAGTCCAGGCCTGGTAGCCCCACCCAGGCCATGGCAGGGAAGGGAGGGAGTAAGAGAGGGCTCTGGCCAAGTCATAAACAATGCTGGTTCCTTCCTGCTGCGAAGGCCTGGGATCTCCAGGGAGAAAGCTGGGGACCAGCCAGGCAGCCCTTCAGTGCTTCACAAAGAGAGGAAGAAACTGACCGCTCACTGACTTCCCCTCTCCTCAACCTTTCCCATTCTGGTTGCCCTGATCCCTCATCCTCCCCTTCCCATTAGGAACTCCCTCAACACAACACAGGTCCAGGGGCTGGAAGAAGAGTGGAGGACACACAGAGAGGAAAATACAGGGAGAGGGAGGGAGTTACAGAGGGACTGGAGGGAAGGGAGAAGGCAGGCACGGGAGTCGGGGGAAGGTAGCTGGGCAGCAGAGCTGTTTCCAGATGAACACAGGCTCAGAGCATACAGTGGGGACAGAAGGACTCACAGAACGCCTCATGAAAGTTGCAGGGAGGCACTCCTGGACCCCTCATGGCTCACTGAGGCCCTGGCCCCCAGGCCCAAAGCACTGCCCCATCCTGCCCAGCCCTGAGCTCTGCTCTTTTCTTCCAAACTCTCTGACAGGCCTCACTGAGGGAATCTAAGGCATCCTCTCCCCAAAGAAGGGTCCTTCATTCCCTCTTCACTAAAGATAGAATCTTCCCGAGAATACTTATTTTCTTCACCTCACCCCACGTCTACTGGGCCCCCAAGGTCCCCACAGCTCTGCCCTGTACTCTGATGCCCCTCCCTTCATTACAGAATGGTCTGCTGAAAGGCTCCAAGCCCCCTCCCCTTTGAACGCAGGGAGCTCTGCCTCCCCCAGAAAGCACTCAAAGGCCCTGTCCCTGGGACGCTCCCCACCCTCACGAAGCCCCTGCCTCTTCAGGACGCTCGGATGTTCAAGCCCAGAAAGCACTCTGTCCCCAGCACCCCTCCAGCCCCCCTAAGCCTCCTCCCTCTGAGACGCCCCCTGCCCGGCAGCGCCCCCTCACCTGACCATGCCATACGCGCCCTCGCCGATGTACTGCAGCTGCGTGTAGCGCGGGCCCACGTCGAACGGCTGCCCCTTCACTATCTCCACTTCCCCCGGGCCCCCCGGGCCGACCCCATCTGCTCCTCCGGGCTCCCCGCCCCCGCCCCCCTGAGCTGCCGCTGCCGCCATCTCCACTCCTCCCCTCCCGCCCGCCCGCCTCTCCCCAGCGGCCCCGCCTGAGGCCCCGCCCCTTCCCTCCCGCTCGGTCACCCGCGGAGCCGCGCGCGCCAGGCCCTGTCCCTGCGCGTCCTCGCGCCCGTCACGTGATCCGCTCTGGCGCACGCCCGGCTTTTCCACAGCTGGTTCCCTGGCACCTGGCACCCGCAGGCTCAGTCTGATACAGTCAACGCCAGGGCTCCCCAGGGCCGTCTTAAAAAGGTCTACACTCTGGACCTTTTTACTGAATGCAGAACAGCCAGTAAGACCACCCGGTGACCTTACCGCAGCCACCCAGCAAGTGTGTGCTGGAGCTGGGACCAGGACTCTGTGGCCTGGCAGAACCGCTGCAGCCGGAGGAGTGGCCTGGGGCTAGAGATGGAATCTTACGGGAATCCTCACCAGCCCTCTAGAGTTTGGCCTCCCTGACCGGCATCAGCCAGAACATAGCGTGATCTCCTTTGTATTTCACAGTAGCCGTGGGAGATGGCTTCCTTACAGATGAGGTCTGCCTCTCACGTGTGAGGAAACTGAAGCCTGAGCGGGATCTGATGACTTGGGGTCACTCAGACAATTGAGGGCTGGGGAGCGCCGGGGTCCAGACTCCCAGACAGAGGCTTTTGGGAGTGGCCTAGGGACCTGGTCTCTGCCAGCAAATGTGCAGTGCCCTTAGGGCAGGGGAAAGATAACCCCAGCCTGTCCTTACATGGACCAAAAGGGAAAGGTGAGAAAGCTGTTGCAGTGTTGACTGGGTTTGTTTAAAACATATCATCAGGCTTTTATCAAAAACAGCAAAATAGGTAACATTTTTGCTGTCACTGGATTTGGCAAAAGTGGAATCCTGTCAAGACCATCATCTTTTGATTCTGTACTAGACTTTATAGTCTATACAATTATTTGACCACTTCAGTTTCTTCAATTTCTTTTGGGGACAACCCCGCAATCTGGGTGTCATCCGATTTTCTTAGCTGGATGTGTGGGACCATGCCTGTCTTGTTCATTACTGTACAGTGCCTAGCACTTGTACTTTGAATGGATGGATGAATCATGTTTTACAGATGGGGAATCTGAGTGCTGGGGAGCTGAGACTCAGAATGATATCTTCTGACACAGAGACTCTTTTTAATTCCATTTTGTCTCCGAGAATCGTAGATTGTTAAAACTGAAGAAAGGGCCCTCAGAGACCATCCAGTCCAGCCCCCTCACTTCACAGTGAAGATGTGAACTGGAAGCTTCAGAAAAACACATTTGCTAGGCTTCAGGAAGTAATCACATTGTTTTTTTCTCCCTTAGACGCTGGGAGGAGGTCCTTATACGCATTATAGATCAAAAGACAAAGTGGAACAGTAATTATGATTCTGAAATTGCTCATAATTAGATCTATGGCCAGGCACTCTAATTCAGATTAATGAGACCAAGCTGCTGGTTCCCAATAGTCCACAAGTCAGGGAATGTTCAAGAGGTGCTAATTATATCAGTGTTTTAAAAAGTTATTCATTTGATAAGCTGTTGAATGGCACTGTGTACAAAGCTCTGAGCTAGGCTCTGGGCATGCACTGTGGCTGATGAAAAATTGCTGTACGGTGTGAATTAGTGGTCAAGATCAAGAACTCTCTGGAGCTAGATTGCCTGTGTTAGAATTCTGTCTTTGCCCCTAGTGACAGTCTTACCATGGGTGGATCACCCATTGGCCTCTTTAGTTGTGGAGTTTCTAATCTATTGAAGAGAAAAGATGCAGAATTAATTTAATACAAGATACATGGATGTAATATATGGTGTGTGGGTTTGGGGGTGGGTGAGATCACCCTTTCTAGAGAACTGAGGAGGGAGTAATGGAGGAGGTGGCATTTGCATCATTGAAAAAGAAGTAGGGTTTCAGGAGTTGGGGATAGAGGAAAGACATCAGGAAGAAGGAACAGTATGAATCCCAGCGTAGAGGCAGGAGAGTGATTTGTGCAGTGTGGCTGCAGAATAAAAGGAGTAAGGGAAGTTCAGGCTGGAGCTGTAGGTTGAGGCCAGGCTGAGGAAGGCCTTGGATTCTGGCAAGTTTAGATGTTACTCACTAAGCAGTTAAGAGCTTTTGAGGGACTTTTGCCAGGCCATTTTGCAACTGTGGGAGAATATAGTGACTCAGAGAATACACCATGGAGTTCAGCATGGAGACAGGTTTCTTGAGTGGCAGTGAGTTTCCTGGCTTAGGAAAGGCTGATGTATGCGGACGGGTGTCTCACTCCATTCAAAGGCATGTAACTGAGATTCCCCTCTAGTGGTGGAGGTTGGTACTTCCTTGGAGATTGGGCTGGGATTTCTTCTATTTCATAGATTCATATTCAGCTAATATAGACTGCACATCTATTCTGTGCCAGTCACTTTTATGTATTTTATCCCCTACCATCCTCACAGCAGCCATATGAAGTAGATACTACAACCATTTTATTTATTTATTTATTTATTTATTTATTTATTTTGGGTCCATTCTTTCTTTTTGTTATTGTTCAATTACAATTGTCTGCATTTTCTCCCCACCCCTACCCCCACCCTATGACCATTTAAAAGGGGGAAAAAACAGAAACTTACTGAACTGTGGAGTTGGAAGAAACTGAAAGAATCATTTTCTCCACCAGGGAGCTCATCACCTCACAGCTCACCATGCTGTTTGAGTTTTTCTAACAGCTGTTATTTGGCTTAGCTCTCTCCTCTGAGATCTACCTAGACTGTCTTAAGCCAGTTCTTTTTTTTTAAATTTTTTTTTTTAGATTTTATTTATTTATTTATTTTTAGAGAGGGAAGGGAGGGAGATAGAGAGAGAAACATCAATGTGCGGTTGCTGGGGGTCATGGCCTGCAACCCAGACATGTACCCTGACTGGGAATCGAACCTGTGACACTTTGGTTCACAGCCTGTGCTCAATCCACTGAGCTATGCCAGCCAGGGCTTTTTATTTTTTATTTTTTTATTTTTTAAGCCAGTTCTAACCTGTTTGTGAAGTCGAGGTCACAGGAGAGGCCGGTGGATAATTTGCCCAGGGTAACACAAACCAGTGACACTTGAAGAGTGTCAAGACCATTCCCATTTCAACGACCTCAGCTGGCCTGCACCAACTGAGAAAGCAGCAACTGTGCAGGAATAGGGGTCAGAACACTGACCTTTTTTTTTTGAAATCCAAAAAACTTCTGTTACAGTTTCCTTGTGACACTTCTTCATATATGAGAGATTCACTATGACCAGACATCTCTCCTCTGGTAAAGCGTTCTTTAGCTGATATGTTCTCGGAAATCTTTGTGGTCAGCAGTCAGTGCTGCCTGCCCCGCCTTCCCCCCTTCCACCCAGGCTCCTTCCCTGGGCTGCCCTTCTCACCAGCCTCCTTTCTCCACAGTATCTCCTTTAGTTACATCATATTCCTTTTTCCTTTATGTAAAATCTCTAACCGTAGCCTTTGCCTTTCTTGCCTTTCTCCCTGGTTCCAGTCCCAAAGTTTCCTTGTTTGCCCAGCAGCTTCACCTGGAGCCTAGCCAATACAGAAATCCTGCGGGTCCGGTGAACGTCGTCCTTCTTACTCCGGGATCTGTTCCTCTTCCAGCCTCAGTACTGCCACTGTGCTCTCAGAGTTGAACCCTGGAATTTTTTTTATTTTTTCATTTCTCTCCATAGCTCGCTAACTCCTGCACATTTTATTACCCTAGCATTTCCCAAAGCTATCCTCTCTACCATTGCTAATTTCATATTTTTTACCTTTTTAATTTTTTTTAAAGATTTTATTTATTTATTTTTAGAGAGGGAAGGGGGGGAGATAGAGAGACAGAGAGAAACATCAATGTGCAGTTGCTGGGGGTCATGGCCTGCAACCCAGGCATGTACCCTGGCTGGGAATTGAACCTGTGACACTTTGGTTTGCAGCCCACGCTCAATCCACTGAGCTACGCCAGCCAGGGCTTAACTTTTGAAATTTTTAAAATAATTTCAGAACTCACCCAAAAGTTGCAAAAAAGTGAAAAATTTCTGTATACCCTTCATCAACACCCTCTAAATGTTAACATTTTAAATAAACACAGCACAGTTATTAACATTGAGATGTTAACAGTGATAGAGTTCATCTGTAGATCTTTTCCAAATTTTGCCAATTGTCTCGCCAATCTCCATTTTGTGGTTTAAGATGGAATTTAGGATCACATGTTGTATTTAGTTATTATTATTTCTTAATTTCCTTTAATCTGGAATAGTGCCTTATTTATTTTTTATTTAGTCTTTCATGACCTTGACACTTTTGAAGATTATAGGCTAATTATTTTGTAGAATGTTCCTCAGTTTGGTTTGCCTGATGTTTCCTTGTGGTTCCTTGTTTTCCTTTGCTTTTACTCTCTCATTGTACGATTACTACTGTGCTAACTAGTGTCCTTTTCTTCCGTCTTCTCTCTCCTTAGATAGGCCTAACTCGCATAGCGGGTGAGCTTTGTGTTAAGAAGGAATCTTACAGTAACAAGAGGTCAAAGACCCAGCTCAAATGGACTTAAACAGGAAAGGAGATTTATTGGCTTCCTTACAGAAGAGCTTAGAGGTAGATGTTAAAGCACAGTTAACCTCAGGGACTCAAAACTTGTCAGGACTGCAGCCCCGCCTTTGAGCTGTGCTTTCTTCTGAGTTGGTTTCATTCTCGGGTGGTTTCTCTCATGGTGGCAAGATCACTGCCACATTTGCTTGTTTTCTAGCAACACCGGAAGGGAAAAAAGCTCATCTCTGCCTGTCTGTATCTCTCTCTTCTTGTAACTAAAACCCCAGAGGTGACTCCCATTGATTATTGGTTCTGTTTGGAGCCTGTACAAATCCCCCAACCCATCGGTATGGAATTGGGGGCTTAGTTATCTCTACTTGCATGGCATGAATGGGGCTGGGGAAGGACAGCTTTCCCAGTGAAAATTGGGGTGCTTTCCTCAGAAAGTGTTGAGCAGACAAAAAAGCAGTGCCCATTTCAGTTTCTGTTTCA